CTATTTATACTGGATGATGATTGAAGGTGAGATGAAAATTTGAACCGCGGCCGATTTGAACCAGCTACCACTGGGTCTATTTCAATTGTGTTTGGGAATTGAGGACACTAGATATTTGTAACACGCATTGATATGATCAGATGATGCAACCTGTCTTTTTCAACTATTTTTAGATTTGTTCCAATCCATTTACTATCAAGGACTGATGAGTCCTCCCTGTTTATGTGTGACCACGAATACATTTAAATTCACATATTCCAAAAGCTTAGAATATACATTGCTTAGTCTTTCCACATACCTTAACCTCAGCTGCACAATATATCTTTATAATGACAGCATTAAGTCTCTACCTATCGCACTATCTATCACACAGGATAAAGATGATGCTTACTTGGTGTTCATTTACTTCATAAATGCTGATGAAGTCATCTAACTTGTGGGTGAGACGTCCAAGAACAAACTTTAAAGCTCAGAGAAAAGCAAGCAATTATCATCTAACAGTTTGTAGGAGCTGATAAACTTTCGTAGATAGTTATCTTTAAACAATGTTTCCATCAGTAATCTAATAATTACCATCAAAGTGTTTTTTGTGCATATTCATAAGATCCTGTTGAATAAGTACCTGCTTAAGGCTTACTTGTATTGAACTGGACAAAAACTATAAAAATTAATAAACTTTTCTGTCCAAATAGTTTCTCTGTAGATGTATGGTTTTAATGATATACAACGGCACCGGACAAATAATACTTGCAGGAAATCAAACTATGATCTTCATTATCTAAACATGTTAAGGGCATATTGTCATATAAATCATTCAGCCGATCTAAAAGTACAGTAATTTAACTCGTGTTGTCATATGTCATCAACATATTTTCTATAAGAAATAAGCTTTCTCAAGAAGATCTTCAGATGTGTGACAAATATATCCACTAATAGAGGAACCTAGGAACTCCCTATAGTAACACCACCAGACTGAGAGAAGTAGCTATCCTGAAGCGTGAACTTTAACCTCTTCTTACATACATTTCGCACAGAAAGTGGCAGTGAAAGATTCACATAGAAATGTAACCTCACAAAATGTTAATTGTTTGATCAAAGGAACATTGGTGAATGAAACCCTGACATTATAATAACATATGATTTTGCATAGAATGTTAGCAATGTCACGATAGCTGACTAACTCAAGTGTGTGTAAAGAATTACTTCTTACTGGATTCCAATAATTCCAGTAACCATTGATCAAGCTTGTGTGATAGTGACTTACACATTTATATGACAGAATATATCGAAATGACTGATTTATATGTTTTGGTTAGACGACTTTGGTGCGGAAATTGTTATTGTGTCGGCTTTAATGAACTAAATTTTTTTCTCTAGTGGTAATTACCCAACCAAAAACAACAAGCAACAATCACCATCAACGGGAGAAATCTAAAGGAAATAGTCTCTTTCACATGCCTGGGCAGCACCGTTTCAAATACAAGCAGCACAACCACAGGTGAGGATGTCAAAGCCAACCAGAATCGGAAAGACAGAAAGACAGGCCTTCCTGCAATAATCTGAAATCAGTGTGGATATCTACTGCACCCCACTCCACTCAGCATAAGGCATGAACAAGGTTAGAATTTTCAACACTAATGTCAGTGCTTCCATGTGATAGTTGAGAGACTTGGCGCGTTACAAAAAGCATTTCCAACAAACTACGAACATTCATCAACAGTTACCGCCTACGCTCACTCGATACTGGAGATCAAATCAGATGACAAAAAACAATAAGTAGCAAGGGACTCTGGCTGGCTGGCAGTGAGTCAACAAGGCAAGAACCTATCACCCAACAAACATGCAGAAGAAAGTGGGATGGATTGGACATACAGTGAGAAGACCAGTTGGAGACATCACGCGCCAACCCGGGTAGGCTCTCGAGTGGAACCCAAAGGGGAAACGATGAATTGGGCGTCGAGGTGAGTGTGACATGGAGGAGATTGTGTGAGGGAGAAATGAAAGCTTGTGGGCAGTGGTGGAGCTAGTTTCAAAAGACTGCAGAGAGTAGAGTGAAATGGTGACGTGCTACTGAAGCCCTATGTTCCACTAGGAACTTAAAGGACAAATAATAAAATAAAAAAGTCTGGTGGTAATGTTGATAACGAGATTTCGAACTAGGTTAACTGTTACTCTTCGTCTCAATAGTTGTAAATTTTCAGAATTTAGTCTCATTATCGAGAAGAGATAATGTGTATTTATTGTCGCTTTTATACATCATCCAAATCACCAAGCCTTCGCCAGTTTTAAGAATGTGGATATAGGAATTACATCTCAGTTTCGTATACAATCTGTAATTCTTAGAGGCCAAAGTATATATTCTCTGTTTGGAGACCACTGCAAAGTTGGATGGTCATATCTACTAGCTTGATTTTCACCCAGTTTTGACGATCACCTCAGATCTGAACAAGAGGTCTTAGCTTGTCGTATATATGTTCAGATTGTGCACTTATATCTAAATCTAAACACTACTTATGAGAGATAAGGCTTCCATCTGATGTGCGGATAGTATGAGCCTAGAAAGATTAATGAAGTATCTATTCAAGTTGAAAGAAAAAAATTGTGTATCTGAATTTTATATCATCAATAGAATTGTCTAGATTCTTATGCGTATTGGCTTTCGTTTAATAAATAACTGTACTACGAAGCTGTAATAACTTCAGGTGATACATTACTGATAAATCTGGAAGAAAATAGGATGTATGAATGTGAACTCTAAGTGACTGTTGAAGCCTTCCTTTATCACTTTTGACATTTTTCGTTGAGTGAATACGACTAGGGAGGTTTGATTTTAATCCCAACGTTTTATGACACCGTTCAGGTGAACATGTGATTTGAAATATATGACTGAACAAATATAATTCACTCATTTTATAAATGGTAATTTCGAACCTTAAGTTAAATAGTTTACAAACAATTTGTCATGACATTATGCCTTCTCAGTGGAGTCGCCTTCAAAACTGAAGTCAATGTACAATTAATTTTGTTTTATTGGTTTTCAGTTTAGTCTTCTCATTTGACCTTAGTTAGTTTTCTCATCTCTTAAATATATATGTGATAGTAGTTATCGAAATGCATTTCGCAAAGACACTACATGATTCTCATATATTATTTTTTGTTACTATTCTGTTGAAATTCTTATAGAGGGCTAATTGTTTTGAATACAAGCTAACTTCATCTCCTATAACACGCCAAATTAACCGATACTCAAACACACTCCGATATAAATCCAGGCAGTTGAAGCATCGGCAACATCAAAAAGAACTAGGATATACTTTCTGTTTTTAGTCATAAGCATCTTTTCAAAGTTAAACAATTACCTTCACAATTAAAGGGTGGAGAGCCTCTGGCTTCAGAAGTCGGAGCCATTCGGTGGATTGATCCCCTACTAAACATGATTTTAAACAAATATCATCTAAATGCCATTTAGAGTGAAGAAATGGTGGCAGAGATATTAAGAGAAACCATATAATTTTACATAAAAATATCCACTTCGCTACCCCATATGCGTGTATTTTGTTACTTAAAATTGTCTTTTATTCAGATTAGGAGAAAATAAAAGTTGATTTTTCGATTACGTCAACCAGACTTTTCACACTACTTGCAACTTATTTTGTTAAGACAAAATCAAAAGTAATACGTTGTGAATATATGTGTAAATATCAAGTGATTCACATTTCAAGATAAGGTACCTATAACTTCAATCAACATCACAATGGAGTACGCCAAAGCAATTGTATACATAACCCCACAAGGACTTATTCTCATAGTTCAGAAAAGAAATCTCCCACTAATCGATAAGTTGACAATAGTTTTGTTTAACAATACACAAATTACTTAGTTTGTAACCACAAGGGATTTAAATAAAAAAGATTACATTTGTACCCTTATTTTCTTTGGTAGATTTCAAGAAAGTTTCTCACCAGCTGTGAATGGCGTCCAATGACGAAAAGGTATGATAAGGAATCAGTAGAGAAGCAACAGACAAAGAAACAAAATCAACGTAGAACCTAGCACACAACTGGATCGGTTCAAAGTGCCACACTTCACAGTAGTATACAAAGAACAAGGTAGATAGAAAAAGAGTGACATCAAAGTAGACAATGTTGTATGAGAGAGTAAACAGTTTCAAGATAAAGTTTAGTGCAAATATTCAAGCTTTAGAAGATGTCAAGGAGTGAATATATCTGCGCCGTTGTGACAGATTTACAGCCATGTCACCCAAAGTCTTCAATCACTGATCTGTATCGTCTCGGCGACCACAATAAGCAATATACTGTTTAAGATAAAAGTGACAATGAATATTCACAGTACATCAACTGGTCAAATAAGTGTAGACTACAAGGTAACAATGAAGCGATCAGAATCCGATTTTTGTCATATATAGTAGGAAGTTCAAGAGTCAGCAAAATGTCGGAAAGCATAAAGGTGAATAGATAAAGTGCTTGTGCTACATTACGAAACGAATTCGTGCATTCGAAAGTTTGAAAAGGGAACATAATGAAGTCATTTTGAAAACTATGATGAATATGCAAAAAAAAGTTAAAACAGTGCTACTAGCGCAATCCGAGACTAATCATATTACATACATTGGTTGGTAACTAGAGAACACCAAGTCTCATGTTGTCTAGTCAGGAGTGCAGATAGAATTCTGCCGATCATTTCTGTAATATGGTTACCAAGCTAGGAGGCTCAGCATCACCGTGCACATTCATAGATACCAGTTGATTGGAAGGAGTCGGTAGGAAGCTTTGTTCGACTTCGGATTCGCGCTTATTGTCACTCGTCAGTAAGGTGCATCTGTAACCTCGATAGAACTGATGTCCTGCCTACGATTCGAACTTGCGCCACCTAGTGTTGTAGTCAGTGACATTACAACTGAGCTGTTCCAGCCACGGTTGACCTCCTATTTGAATCTCATAGGGGATATTAGTTCCCTTGAGGTTGCAGATGCACCTCATTGACGTGTGCCAACAAGCAGGAAGAATTTCGGCTGAGCATGGCTTCTTATGGAGGTGAAGTCAACAGATTACTAATCTGTATTAGATTAATTTAATTAACATTTTTTACTCCACAATACGATTAACATAGTTGCAGGGGAGATGCTTTTCAAAGCGAGTTTGATTCTTTTCTTGATTTGTGTTCATTTAGCTAATTCCTGTTGAATGCAAATTATGTGAAAATTGACTTTATTCCAGCAGTATAAGTCTAGGTTTTATATACTGACTGGTCACAAGAGAGCAACCAATCTCATGTTGTCTAATCATGAGTGCAGACCGAATTCTGCCGATCATATTTGCAACGTGGCCACCAAGCTAGGAGGTTTAGCATCGCGGTGCACATTAGTAGATCGTAAGTTGGTTGGAGACAGTCAACAGGAAGCTCTAAACCTAGGTCCTATGCTCGTGGTCACTCGTCAACAATGAGTATCTGCAACCTTGACAGAACTGGTGTCCGTCTGCGATTCGAACTCGCCTCACCCAGTATTGTAGTCAGCGACGTTACCACTGAGCTATTCAAGCCGCGAATAAACTCCCCTAGGACTGGGTTACACACATTGATTGGTCACAGAAGAGCAACCAACTTCATGTTGTCTAGTTCCAAGTGAAGACCGAATTCTATCGATTATGAAATGAAAGCTGATTGTTGGTTGCTCCCTCGTGACCAATCAATGTAAGCCAACCAGTCCTGAAGGAGATCATTCACGGCCTAAATAACTCGGTGTTAACATCGTTGACTGCAACACTAGGTGACGAGAGTTCGAATCGAAGGCGGGACATCAGTTCCGTCGAGGTTTCAGATACGTCTATCTTCATGAAGATAATTTATCCTTCAACTTCTTGTCAGTGCTTTTTCTTAATAAAGCTTTGTTGACTAAATGATTTATGTTGACTGGAGGCTCTTATACAACAAGACATCAACCTCTGAGAGGTTGAAGGTAATAATAATCACATCCAGTTATACATTATTAGTTCTTTGAAAGTACAGATTATCTCTATTTATCTTCAGTATTTTCTATGAACCATTGATCGTCAGAACCATACCACAGCAGAAAATTACCATTGTTTATGCATCAACATCATATTCCGGAGATGTCATCAAGATGGATCTCTCACTATCTTGGCTTACTCATACGTAAACTGAAGTCGGTCCTTCACACAACTTAACTCCAACGTTTGACGCATTTAAGGATAATTAATAGCTGTGATTAAAACTACTTCTGACTTCCAAAATCTAATTGGTTGGTACACAAATGGAGACAACAAATCGATTTCACTGTGTAATGGACTTCGTCAGCGCTAAAGTAACTGTCTAGGAGGGAAGTGTATATCATTCGAGCAACTATGATGCAGCTGGCAAAAGTAATCACTCATGTCTCTTACACCTGGTGGTTCACAGGAATATTGATTGCAATAAGGTGGAAAGTTATCCCGATTTGCCATCATATCATAGGTCAATTATTTATCAACCATGACTCACCGTTGAGCTGCTGCATCAATCATCTCCGCAGCCATCATTTTTAATCGATTGTCCATATGTTCAGCAAAATCTACATCTGGCCAGTGAAGTTCTCTGATGAAATTCTGTAGAGCTTCCAGCTTCCATAGTAGCTCACTTGAAGTAACGGGTATACATGCTGTTGTGCCTATTGAAGCTGGATTCGTTGCAGCTTGTGTGGCTGCATTGGCTGCTGCTGTAGCTGCTGCCATTAAACCGCCTGTTCGACTAGCAACATTTGCAGCATTAGCCGCACCAGCTGCAGCTGCACTCACTAGAGAGCCTACATTTCCCAAAGCACCGACAGTTTCTAATGCAGATGCTGCAAAACCTGTACTTGTTGATGCCATCCCAGATGAAGGATCAGGACTGTTCCTACCATTTTGAGAGCTTGCCTGTCCATCAATTCCACCACTAATAGACTGAGCTATTGAAGCCTCCATCAGGTCAACGTAACGTACAACCAAAGGTGCGAATATTTGTGTTAGTTGTAGATGAAACTTCCCAGATTTTAGAGAAACTAAAATGTACGGAGCATTGGCAATATATATTTACAAGAGAATTATACTCAGTTAACAAAAACATAATCTTTATTATTAGGGAAATTATGAACAGAAAGAAAAAAATCACTGCTACAGCATATATAGAATCCTATAAACGTATTGAAAAAGGAATTGTACTCTATCATAGTGCCTTTATTCTTTTGTTACATGAATCAAAGTACTATCTCTTAGTACTTTATTAGATATAAATGTTCAGCAAAACAAAATCCTAGTTTACTTTTGATAGCTTTAAACAGTACTGTTAACAAATAAAAAAATAATTCAGTATAAGCTTTCGGACTACCTGCTGCTCTTACTGGAATGCGTAGGTTCTTCATATTTTCTTTTGAACTTAAACGTGAATGTAACAGACTATTAAATCTCCACTTCATTGGAACTTAAGTCTGCTAAGGTTCTAGCTACTTCATTCTTTTACAAATGAATACCATTATATCTAAACAGTGATATGATGTAAATAATGAACTCTTTTATCTTGGTTAAAATAGATAAATATATGTTTAAGGTGGTATTCATCACTGACTGTCATTACTTGGAGAACCATTTAAAACCTAAGAGTACTTAACACCTGGTTTGTCCTAATAAGGAACTAAGCAGTATGCATCTATGACCCTAGCCGGGGGTCGAACTCCTGACCTTCGGTTTTCTCTGCGAACTTTACAAATAATCAGACACCGATTCAGAGTTCACTGATCTACATATCCCCACTGTTTTCAATTTTAAATATACGTCACGATTATTCATTAAGGTCTTCCCTTCGTGTCCGCTTCACTCCTGAGTGTTTGATCCTCCAAGTCATAATTTCTCATTAATTTTCCGGATGTCCATCTCGAAACATGTTAATAAAGACCACCTTGCAGTAATACAATTTAAGGTTAGTGAGAACTTTATTTTTTAAGTTGTTCTTCAATGTTGACATCACTTAAACTATCTATAAGTTCATCCAATTTACTGTTTTAAAAATGGATAACTCGTATCAGATAAAACATCTACATTAGTGCACTTAATTACCCTCAATTGAACTGAAGGTCTAAATAATATTCCATTTGTAAACATTTGATTAACTGAGCAGTATCACAAGCTATTAAATAAAATAGGTTGAATTGATGAGTAGTTGGTAAAACTGAAATTCTATACAACATCAAAGTAAAACGTTTGATCCGTAAAAATCTAAATTCCGATTGAATTTCAACATAAACAGTACACTCTTAGTTGATCTCATATCTACATATTTGAAATATTAATCATAATGGAATCTATAATAAAAATTCTTTGATTTTCATTGTATATCGTTTGAGGGGATGGCAAGCTACCTAGCTATGGTTCATAGCATGTTAGAAGTCATTAATAAAGACTCTTAATGATTATAATTCTCTTCACTTGACTTAAAATCATTTAGATGTGAAAAAAAATTTAACAAGCAAACAATCCTTCTCTAGGATTTCTTATCTGAAACCATACAAAACCATGTATATACACAATATGCGCATTATTATGTATAAAGAAATTCTGTAGAACAGTGACAAAAGACTAACAAGGGAGAAGATGAAATAATATAATCTTTGAGCAAGTGATTTCTCTTTTAAAAAAATATCATTGTTTCATAAATTTTTGTTCGCTTAATAAGAACAAAAACAAAAAAAAACAGTTTAACTGACGTTTTTATTTGTTTTTCTGTTTTAAAACGTTGTTGTTATTAATTTGTCCATATGATTATTGCCAATCAACTAACTATGCGATTAAGATAGTCCGGAAACAAGTTCACAGTATAGTGTAAGTCATTGTCATCAGTAATTAATCCATCCAGTTGGATCTTTGAATATATTATACTACGATGAATATGGTAGTATTCATTGGAGAACCACTGAAGACCTGGGAGCACTTGAAAACTGTTTTGCCCTAGTATGGGACTCCTCAGCAGTTTTTTCACATGGGTTTCTAGTGGAACATACTGCACGTCGCCATTTCACTCTCTTCTCTCCAGTGCTTTCAACCTGGCCCCACCACTGCCCACAAGCTTTCATTTCTTCCTCACATCATCTTCTCCATGTCACCCTCGCACGCACAACTAGTCGTTTTTCCTTTAGGTTCCACTCGAGGGCTTGCCTAACCCAGCACGTGATCTTCCCAAACCGTCTTCTTAGTGTATATCCAATCCATCTCCACTTTCTCCTGCTGCATATTAGCTGGGTGATAGGTTCTTGGTTGATTCATTGCCAGTGTCAGTGCATTGTTATTTATTCTTTCTGGCCATCTGATCTGATCTTCAGTATCGAGCGTAGGCAGTTGTTGATTGGATGTCTATAGTTTGTTGGAATTTTTTTCGTAACGCGCCAAGTCTCTCAACCATCACATAGAAGCACTGACTTAGTTTTGACAATCCGAACCTTGTTCACGCCTTAGGCTGAGTGGAATGGAGAGCAGTAGATGTCCACACTGATTTCAGATTGATGCAGGAAGGCCTGTCTTACTGTCTTTCCGATCGTGGCCGGCTTTAACGTCCTCATCTGTGCCTGTGTCACCTATAGTTGAGACGATGCTGCCTGCCTGGGTAAGTGAAAGAAACAACTTCCTTTAGGTTTCTCCCGTTGATGGTGATTGGTGATTCTTGTTGTTGGTGGTTGGGTATCTTCATCACCTCTGTCTTCTCTACGTTCACCTGACGGAAGTCCCATCTTCGCAACCTTGTCTCTTTTGCCAACTTGTTGGTTTTTGCCAGTAGATCTTCGACTTTGTGCCACAAGACATTGAACATAAATCATCATCGGCGGTGAAATCCAAATCTTATAGGGTCTTTTCGTAGGTCAAACAGCGTATGCTCCTCTTCTCGCTCGTCACAGTTTGTTGCATAATCCAGTCCACCATAGTCAGGAAGATCATCGGCGACAGTAGGCGGCAGCCTTGTCTTACCTGTCAACTTGTCTTCACCTCAAAGGCGTCACTGAGTTTTCCAGCTTTCCTCAGCGTTACGCACCCATAATTTCTCCAGGGTTCAGACTCAGGACCTGCAAATCTCATGGCGAACGAATTAACCATTCACTCAGTGCGTCAGACCTCAGTTGTCTACAGTTTCCTACTTCTGTCACTGTGCGATATAGCTTAACTATCCACTAAGGTATTCGGTTGGTATCCGCTTCACTTTCGACTGGTTGACCCCACAGGTTGCGGCTTCTCACTTCATCAATGAGCACTGAGCAACTGATTTCAGTCCGTGATGAATACTACCATAAAAATGAAATCCTTATTAACCTCAAAATACAATATGATGAATTTGTGAATCAGGAAAATGTAAAGTGATTGAATAGAGTTCCTGAGACCAAAGAAGTCAATGGTTGAAAATACTACGAGACAAGCTTCAAAACTGATGACAGTGATAATGTGTACATTTATTCATTCTTGATGTCCCTCTAACCTCTGTATGTTTTTTTGTTATCCTATACAGTTGTGCTCTTTTCAGTATTGTTTTCCTTCAGCATAGCTGGATTTCTGTAAAAATTTTCGCTCCACAATACTGTGAACTTTGACTAGCTGAATCAATTCATTTGAATGTAAGCTTCTACAATATCATATGATGTCTTGTGAATCAAAGATACTCCAGGTCAAAAAAAACCCATCACTATGGGACTGTTATTATGTTGTATTTAGTTAAATAAGATTTCTTTAAACTTTAATATCCTGAAGAAGTTGAGCTGTAAGTTGTAAGGTGGACTACTTATGTTTGGAACTTAACCCCACCTCCCCGGTTGATATTTTTTCTGACCTACTTTATTCTGTGTTCTTGTTAATCATATATACCAAAGTGTAAATCGTAAACTGGTAAACTGGCTTGCTAATTATCCTATGGTATTTTATTCAGGAAGTCAATTACAGGAAATATCTATCAGTGAAGGGAAAATCATACTATGATCACTATGATGCCATGAAAAACAATTATTGTTCCATCGTAACAGTATTTTGAGATGAGCATATGTTAATCAATAAAAATTATAGGAAGATTAAATTGTAAGGAAGAAAGTGATTCTTTTTCGTATAAAAAAAACAATGTTTAAAGTTAACACAGTAACAGATGGTTGAACAATGATTTTCACAGTCATGATTCTTGATGGTGATGATAAGATAAAACGTCTGCTATCAGGTTATTTAATGTATTAAATGCATCTATAGATGAGATTTGGGCTTCAAAACTATTCCTGAATATTAGTGAGGTTGATTTTTGCAAAATTATGCAATCCGACAACTATACAGACAGTCATATAATCTGAGAATATTCAGGAAAATCTACTGGATTTTATGCCAAACTTATCATCATCATCGTCATCCAAGTACAGTCTTCGAATCGATATATTGATTGAAAGCATGTTATAATTTAGTTTCGCCTCTATAAGGCTATAGTAGTAACAGCAGGAAAGTCAATGACGATAAAGTGATTTTTTAAAAATATTGATGGAAATGGTAAAATATAAATTGTCAGTTATTCAGTATGCGGCAGTATTGGATAAACTTTCAAGCATTCACGAAAAAAAACCATTTTTTTATCAACTAGTTGTCATAGATACTTCAGCTGACTGCTGATTTTTATACATAGCCTTTCATAAAACTAATTTTCCAGTCAATTAATGATAATTATATAACTTTTCAATTGAAAATAGGTTCGATAATACCAAATATGAAAGAATATTCATATGATTAATGAGTATCACATCAACAGTAGATATGAATACTCATTAAGTTTTTCTAAAACATTAACAGTCCAATAACTAATTGACTGGTAGTATTTGGCTGAAAAACCTCGCCTGGTTAACTAATTCACTAGTTACTAGCCGGTCCTAAGCCCGATAATGAGGGAAGGTTGGGCATACGGCTAACAACCTTACCCCGGAAAACCAATCCAACCATAAAAAAACTTCTGAGCACAGACAAAAAATAAAAATGAAAAAAAACTGGAATTGAGGAGACAAAATGACACCGGTTGGTGAAAGCCTCCGGGAATCTAAATGACAGATATCTTCTTACCCTCGATGAAAGCGAAAGTAAACATAGGAAAATGCAATGACCGCAATACGTTTGAACCTACCAAGGCTACCCAGATTGCGAAAGAGATGAAGAGGTATCACATTGAAGTGCTTGGAATTTGCGAAAGCAGATGGAATGGGAGTGGACTCTCCAAACTGTCAACTGGAGAATCAATAATCTACTCCGGTCACCCAGACGACAACCACAAGCACACTGAGGGAGTGGCTATCATGATGTCCTCAAGAGCATCGAAGGCTCTCATGCAGTGGGAACCAATCTCCTTCTGCATCAGGATCATGACAGCAAGATTCAACTCAAAAGGAATGAAGGTCACAATCATACAATGCTATGCACCTACAAATAATGCAGATGAAGAGAAGAAGGAGGAAATATACAGACAACTGCAATCAGTACTGGACAAGACCTCAGTTGGCAACATCAAAATTCTAATCCGAGACATGAATGCCAAACTGAGAACCACAACACAGGAAGAGAACTCATCATGGGTCGAGAAGCGCCCGGTGAAATGACCGAGAATGGAAAACTGTTTGCAGAATTTCGGGCATTCAACGATTTGGTGGTAGGAGGTAGTATGTTCAAGCACAAGGATATCCACAGAGCGTCATGGATCTCATCAGACACCAGACACACTAAAAATAAGACCGACTTCATCTCAATCTCAAAAAAGTGAAGACACAGTTTACTGGACACAAGGTCAAGAACAGGATCAGATGAAAGTTCAGACCATTATCCAATGCAAGAAACCTTCAAAATCAAGTTGAAAACCATGAAAGAAGTTAGTGATAGACCACAGTTCAACACCCAGAACAGAAACTGAAGGATGAAACTTCAAGGGAAATCCTCACGTCAGCCACCAAAACAAAATGGGAGATATCAAGGAACATCCTTGAAGAAACCTACGTGGAAGAACACTGCAACTCTTTGAAAGAGATGTAGAAAGAAACCTGCATAACCGTATTAGGAAGAAAGAAGAAACAAGACAATGAATGGATCTCCACTGACACATGAAAGCTGATAGAGCAGGCAGAGGAAAATGGTGAAGCAGAAGATGAACCAGTGCAGTGCAAGAATGAACAACGAAAAGAGGAACTGAGAACACAACCTATAAAACACTACACTGGACAAAGAAGTGAAGAAGAGTGCACGGAAAAACAAAAGACACTTCTACGACACACTAATAAGTGAAGCAAGTCACGCTACAGTTAAGAGAGACAGACACCTGACAACATTATACCAAATCACCAGGTTATTATCTGGAAGGGAAGAGATCAACACAGCACAGATGAAACCAATGAAAGATGATAGTGAAGGAAACCTAGTTACCGCCGAAGAGGAGAAACAAAAGAAACGATGGGCTGACCAACTTAAAAATCTCTTGGATCGACCACCACCATAACCACCACCTGTACTTCGTTCAGAAATACCACCAGCAGCCCAGTCACACAACCATCAGTGAACACAAGCTCTCCGACGAAAGTCAAAGTCCTGAATGCCATAAGGCTACTGAGAGCTGTGAAAGCAGCAGGACAAGATGGAATCCCGCCAGAAGCACTGAGAACAGATGCAGAGATAACAACGGACATGCTCACACCCCTATTGCAGAAGGTTTAGAAGGAAGGAAAGATACCTGGCGATTGGAAGAAGAGATACCTTGTCAAGCTCCCGAAGAAGGGCGACCTAAGTCTTTCCAAGAACTGGTGCGGACTCATGCTCCACCGCTGTCAGCCCAAAGCAAGATATCAAGCCGCATCATCTTGAAGAGACTAAATTTTAATGCTCTGTATTCGAAATACGACCGGAACAGACTGGCTGGTTGGTTGACTTCAGGAAGGCTTTATCATGTGCGCATCAAATTGCAACGACAGTGAATGGCAACAAGAGGGGGATGCGCTGAACCGGGGAAAAGATCCTAGAAGATTTGGATTTTGCCGATGACTTGTATCTAATGTCGCACAAATTTGAAGATCTACAGGCAAAAACTAACAAGTTGACAGAAGAGGTAGGGCAGCGAAGACGGGACTTCAAGTGAACGTAGAGAAGATAGAGGTGATGAAGATGCCCAACCAACATCTCCACCACCAACAACAAACACCATTCACCATCAACGGGAGAAACTTGAAGGAAACAGCCTCTTTCATCTATCTAGACAGCACCGTTTCAACTACAGGCAGCGGCACAGACGAGGATGTCAAAGCCATCCAGGATCGGAAAAGCGAGACAGACGTTCATTAACCTGAAACCAGTGTGGAGATCTTCTGCACTTAGCATAAAGCGTGAACAAGATCCGGATTTTCAACACCAACGTCAAATCAGTGCTTCTGTATGGCTCAGAGACTTGGTGGGTTACGAAAGGGATTTCCAACAAATTACAGGCATTCATCAACAACTGCCTACGCTGGCTCGTTACTGAATATCAGATCAGATGGCCAGAAACAATAAGCAACAAGAAACTCTGGCCGGGCAACGAACCAACCAAGAACCTATCGCTCAACAAATATGGAGAAGAAAGTGTAGATGAATTGGGCATACACTGAGAAGACCATTCGGGGATATCACACGCTAGTCACTCAAGTGGAACCCAGATGGCAAACGGCGAGTTGAGCGACCGAGGCAAGGGTGACATGGAGGAGGTCGTGTGAGGAAAAAAGGAGAGCTTCTGGGCGGTCGTGAAGCCAGGTTCAAAAGACTGCAGAGAAGAGAGTGGAATGGAGACGTGCTACTAAACTTTTATATTCATTAGGAACCCAGGGGACAAATGATAAAAATTCAAGAAATTTGGTTGAAAACTTTGTTATTTTTCACAAAAGCGAAAAATAGTTAGCTTTTATTTTATAAAGAAACAAATATACAACACTACTGATAACAGAAATTTGTAAGTAGCATCGTATACTTGTTAGGTAGAGAAGAAAAGCTACGTACTAGACATATTAACCGTAAGCCATGAAAGTAAGATAATAAAAAAAAAATTTCTAAGATTTCATTTAACGTTTCTCATAGCATCATAAAAAGTAATAAAGCGTATGTATAGGAAACTAAAATTAACTTGTACTGATTTGGTAAGGAATTTTTCATCAAAGGTAAACTCTTTTCATGAGGTGTGATCACGCAAAAATGTATATGGAACGCCTTGAAAAGCAAATTAAGGTGATTATGTAGTAGCTGAAATGATTCTGAAGAAGAAAAGTCTGAAGGTAGATGACCCACACTGCACTTGTTCATCTTCTGCTTCACCATTTTCCTCTGCCTGCTCTATCAGCTTTCATGTGTCAGTGGAGATCCATTCATTGTCTTGTTTCTTCTTTCTTCCTAATACGGTTATGCAGGTTTCTTTCTACATCTCTTTCAAAGAGTTGCAGTGTTCTTCCACGTAGGTTTCTTCAAGGATGTTACTCAATGTCTCCCACTTGAGAAAACATAAATGATACTATTAACAGTCAACTTACCAGGAACACAAAAAGACTGAAGTGAGCTCTTTGATGATAATGATTTTAGGATGCATACATATCATGTTTTTTATGTGTTTCTAGGGTATTATCAGTGAATTTATTTACATCTTGTGCACTCCTTGTTATATAGACATATGAAGCAAAAGTCAAAGTTTCTGATGGACTGACCTAGCGAAGCAGACGGTATGATATTTATCTTATATATTATTGTTCATAAAAAAAATAAAGAAAAGATACAAGAAATTCAATGAAACTAACCTTCTGAACTTAAATAATCATTTAATAATTGAAATAATGGGAAACTATCCCAACAGTCCGGTGGCATTGTTTCTAATACACCGACCATATCAGCTGAGAAGAAACTCCAAAACAATTCTGCATGTTCAGTTAACAAATCTTGAAACCATGAAATGCCTATAGATTAAGATTGAAAAACAAAAACAAACCAAGAAATAGATGAGAATTAATGTAAAAAGAATAAATATCAAATGATAACTTTGTTAACACTGCAAGTTATAAGATATTACATTGTGAATATAAGAGTTTTTATCTGTCAGGATCGGTTGATCAAAAACGTCGTATTTACTTATTTCAAAGTAAATAATTATTTTTAAGACCTCCCCCCCCTCTAGGGTCTTTCTTTGTCAGTGTACTTGTTGTTTTGATGATGTCATGAGAAAGTAGAGGAAGAAAGAAGCGAGGAGTAAGAATGAGGAGGAGAAAGTAAAGGAGGATGGAATCAATCACATAAATAATATTTGCGTTTACAACCCATGAAACTGTGAAGTTTTACTTTAGTAATGACTTTTAGAAGTTGCTAAGAAAAGTCGCCTTGAAGAAGGAATAAAAAAAACCGAAGTAAACACGAAGAAAAAGAGAAAGATGAAAATGGGAACAAACTGAAATCATTCAACAAAATGCAGCTCGTGTAAATCGCATACATAACTTTTTTAATAAATGTATCAAATCTATTAAACGAAGCATATCCATCCGTTTTCAAAATGAACATAGAAAAGGTACAAACTCCAATTTTATTGATTTATTAAATTTGTGATACATTGGAACAGTATTGTTTACTGGATTACGTTGCGGACATAATCTTGTTGTCCATAGTCATCATATCAAGATAACTACATAACATTAATATAGGAGTAAAACTATAGAACTTTGAGACATCTTTTATATACTCTTAATTTCCCCACCCCTTTGTGATATGGCTAACCAAATTTTCCACGTATCCGGAACCTGTACTGAGATTCATTCCTGTTACCTGAATTAAGTGTTGAATCGATAACAGAGATTCAGTTATCGACCTCTCCCTCTACCCTGCTATGTTACTTTGGTAAATTGTCACCCTGTTGTGTGTAGTTACATCCATAGCTATGGCAGAGCTTTTTTCAAAATTCTTCACCTATCAATTTTGATCTAGCCAGGCTTTTGTGGTGGGATAGCCTGACTGAAACCAGTCGACTACTTTGACCTATATGTTTGACCGGACAATCCTTGCAAGGAATTCGGTAAACCAAATCATTCTGGCTAATTGCATCAGTAGGATCTTTTAATTTACAAAGCTTATTTGTAAGTGGGTTTGTGGGTTTAAATGTCACTGTAATCCAGTCAGCCTTAATCCTACGCAGTTTTCCTGAGCTGCCTTCTTTGGATGGTAATACTCTAGAGATTTTGAATTCACTCTTCACAATGTTGCCACTGTTGTTATTAAAATTGTTCTTACTACTAATAACAACTGTGTTACTAGTATTTTTCTTACGATTTTGACGGAACTTATCACTTAATTTGGGAAGGTCATTGCTGATGAGTAAGATGTCTTTAATAATTCTCGTTTCTTTTCTTCGATCTTCTTCTTTACTAGTAAGTTTTCTGGCCGTGTTACTTAGACATTTTACCAAGGTAACTTCAGCTGATATAGGGTGAGACGATTTGAAGTCGAGGAGAAGATTTGAATGTGAAGGTTTTTTAGTAGACAATAGTTTCTAAACTTCCATCTTAGCAAATCTATAGATTAAAGTAGTCAACCAGTGTCAATTGGGCTATCCCAGCACAAAAACCTAGCTAGGTCAAAATTGGAAGATCTTAGTAAGCTGTTGACGCAACTACACACAACACACAGTAGGATGGTACAGGGTGACAATCCACCAAACTAACATAGCAGAGTGGAGGGACAGATTGATAACTGAATCTTTGTTTATCGATTCAACACTTAACTCAGGTAACAAGAATGACTCTCATCACAGGTTCCAGATACGTGGAAAATCTGGTTAGCCATATCACAAAGGGGTGGGGAAATTAGGAGTATATAAAGGATATTTCAAAGTTGTGTAGTTATCTTGATATGACGACCAGGGCAGTAGATTATGTCCGCAACGTAATCGAGTAAACAATACTGTTCCACTGTATCACAAATCTAATAAATCAATAAAAATGGAACTACATTCTACCACAGTGCATTTTATTGTATAACAGTACTTTAATACAAATGCACTATATCACCAAACACCAGTTAGGGAGAGTTTGAGGGTTATTAGATGAGCAGAAACCAATTAATGCAGTCAATGACTTTTCAATTGGGCTATTCAACAACCTGTACGCTAACTGATTGGGAAGTTTTTAGACTTTGAAAATCAGCTATTGAGGACCGTTAGTGATACAGCTATAATTTTTGAAATAGTTACAGCTTACATCGACTGGTCGTTGGAGTTAACCAACTTCACACTGTCTAGTCCTATATGCTGAGCGAATTCTATCGATGTATGCAATTCAGTCCTACAGGAGGTTAGTCGCAACCAGAATAGGTCGGTGGTAATGTCTCCAACCGCAACACTAGGTGAAGCAGGTTCGAATCTAAGGTGGGACATCAATTCCATAGAGGTTAGAGATATGCCTCACTGACTGACGAGCGCTAACAAGTAAGAAACCTGGGGGTCGACGGCTTCCTGCTGATTACATCCATCTAACTAACATCTTTTTCTCAGTACATCGAAATAGCGAATCCCCTAGTCTGGTGGCCATGTTGCAAAGTGATCGATGAAATTCGGTCAGCACACAGGACTAGACAACATGGAGTTGGAGTGATGAATCAATGTATTTAATGCATCCATCCAGCTAACACACTTATTGCTTCTCAGTTATTTCTTTTTCTTCCAACAACAACTTTTTTTGGTTTTCAAATTTTTTTATATTTCTACTTTCCTGAGCCTACGCTAATTGTGGTAACTACCATACAGGAACATTTGAACAAGAATTTCCATTGTTTACCTTAAGAATGGCGGTTAGGCAGTACTTAACAATCGAGCATCAGCGCAAAAAGTATGATCAGTCACTGCTAAATTAAATACTTATAGCGCTATTAAAATATCTAAATGTTTACCGAAAGTTGAATACATTAGGTGAAATAAAGTTTATTTGACTGTATGACTTTGAAACGAGATCATGATAGGTAGATTATATGAGACAGTCCCAGATATGTCATCGTTGCATATGCTCACAAGAAATGAGACCACTATAGGAACAAAACACTGTAGAGGTTAAGTTCTAGGTAGTGCTTGTAAGTAAGTTTGAAAGGTGGTGAGGTGCCAGTTAGCTTGGCGGCTAGATCATGTACTACACACGTCAACTTATCACCTACCCCATTAATCTGTGTTAAAGGAAGCTAAGAAGCTAAGAATGGTTAGATAAAGATATTGTACTGAAACTTAAAATCTCTGACTGTTGATATGAAATATGTTGGTGAATATGAGCATTTTAGTCTATCAGAGACTTGAGTGTATATGGGTTAGAATCGATCATGGTAGCTCAAGTGCACTGAAACTGGATTTGAATAACAAGTGAAATATAGTACATAACTTTTCACAGCTACTGATACTGTTATTATTCATCCTTTTTCTCTCTTGTCGTCCACCGAAATGATGAACTAGTATAAAATATGCTAAGTTAAACTGGAGTGAGGCTAAAAGTTATCCTCTGGTGTTATTTTTGATTGTTATGGAATATAGCTTTCTATGCACAAATTCGTGTATTTCTTTATGCTGTGTGCTTGCTTTACCTATTTGTAAAGTTTCTAAAACATCCTCTGTCATTGAATAATGTTTCATGCCGTTTATTCACGTGCAAAATCGCACTTCCACCTCCCAGTTGGGATGTAAGTACATTCACTGATGAAGAATGATGCTCACAAATCAAAGTTAATTGAGCCTTCAACTTTCAGCAGAAAGGGTGTACGATTGCAGTTTCCATTTAAAAATATGTACTTATAAGACACAGTAAATACGTAAATATACAGTACACAGTAACACCTAGAAATAAGTTTTAGCCTCACCCTTTGAACGGTTATGCAGAAGTGCTGGGTTGTTCTTCATGTCCTTGTCTACACGACGGTTTATTTCCATAATCTTAATATGCTTGTTATAGAAGAGGACACATAGAACTAGATACCTAGTGAAAAGTAGTGGTATAGTAAGAGAGAATTTTCATTGTTGGTACTTATTGTTTTCAAATACTGTCATTCACCTCACAGTTGGAAAGAAGAACAAGCTTTCAGAAAGTATGATAATGCTCTAATGATTGGACTTAACTGACAAACACAAGATAAAGTACTCAACATATTAATTTGAACAGAAAGGAATGATATGCATTGGTGATCAAAAGAAGTTTGTAAGAATTCTTCATCTGAGCTTGCTAATTGTTACCACTGATTAAAATAATTTACATGAAATCTCCAGTAAACTTATGAGTCCAGTAAATTGTGAGACAAATTTATTCTGTAGACCAACATAAGAATCCACCATTTATTTGAAAATGAATTTTAACTGACTGGAAAAAATCAGAAGATAAAAATAACCAGAAGACAAGAAAGTTAAAGTCTTCAAAAAGACACACTGACTGATCACTGAAGAGTAACAAAGTTCATGTTATCTAATCTGTAGCGTTGACTGAATTCTACAGGCCACTTTGTAATGTGGTTATCAAGATAAAAGTCTTGACAATACAGTGCACTTTGACTGATGTTGGATTTCAATAGGCAATCGGGAAGAAGTCCTGATTGACCTAGACTTTGTACTTGTTGGTAGTCGTCAACAACGTGCATCTGCAGACTTAAGGGAACTAATATCCTTTGAGAGATTACAACCAGCATTACCCAGTGACTATATAGTTATTCATAAGACAAGTTACAATGAATTTCAGATATGATGTTTGTGTTTAAAAGTGACTATAACTGCTTTGGAGAGCATAGAATGGCAATCAGCTCTCTACCTCAACTTCATCAACTTTGAGAAGGCCTTTGACAGCGTCGACCAAGAAGTAATTTGGAAACTGCTTCAATATACGGAGTACCGCAAACCTTTATCAGCCTCATTCAACAACTATATGAAGATGCCACATGCCAAGTAATCCACAATGGGAAGCTCAGTGATGCTTTGAAGTGAAGACAGGAGTGAAATAAGGTTGCCTACTATCCCCCATGATATTCCTAATTGTGGTCGACTGGATCATGCAGCAAACAGTAGGCAGCGAGAAGAGGGGGATACACTGGACGACGGAAAAGAACCTAGAAGATTTGGATTTCGCCGATGACTTATGCCTAATGTCACACAAACTTGAAGATCTGCAGGCAAAAACTAACAATTGATAGAAGAGGCAGCGAAGACGGGACTTCAGGTGAATATAGAGAAGACAGAGGTGATGAAGTACCGCACCACCACCATCAACACACAACAACAAACTCCAATCACCGTCAACGGGAGAAACTTAAAGGAAGTAACCTCCTTCACTTATCTAGGAAGCACTGTTTCAACTACAGGCAGCGGCACAGACGAGGATGTCAAAGTCAGAATCGGAAAAGCAAGACAGGCCTTCATTAGCCTGAAACCAGTGTGGAAGTCTTCTGCACTCAGAATGCGGAACAAGATACGGATGTTCAACACCAACGTCAAGTCAGTGCTTCTGTATGGCTCAGAGACTTGGCGCGTCACGAAAGGTATTTCCAACAAACTACAGACATTCATCAATAACTGCTTACGCTCGCTGCTGAAGATCAGATGGCCAGAAAAAATAAGCAACAAGGAACTCTGGCCTACCAACGAACCAACGAAGCAAGAACCTATCACGCACAAATATGCAAGAGGAAGTGGAGATGGATTGGCCATGCACTGAGAAGGCCGACTGAGGACATCACGCGTCAGGCCCTCGAGTGGAATCCCCATGGGAAGCGACGAGTTGGGCGTCCGAGGGTGACATGGAGGGTCGTGCGAGGAGGAAATGAGAGCTTGTGGGCTGTCGTGGAACCAGGTTCAAAAGATCTCAGAAACAGGATGAAATGGAGACGTGCTACTGAAGCCCTATGTTCACTAGGAACCCAAGGACTAATAATAATAATAATAATATAATAACTGCTTTGGATCGTCTAACATTATAGTAATAAATTCAGACGAAAACGAAATCATACAACACGATCAGTAATAGTAACACAAAATAAATATATATCAAGGATGAAACAACTATTATAATAAACACGAATGTACAGTGCATACCTCTGCGTGATGTTCTTCATTTTGACGAAGCACTTCAATGCATAATTCAGCCAAATGAATGAGATCAGCTAAAGTTTTACCTACAACATACAAATATAAGAAGCATAGAATGTTTTATGTATACTCTTAAAAAGTTACTAGAAAGCAACTGTTTCTGGTTGTACTGTGTTCTCTGAGCTCGATCGTTTAATCATGAAGCTTTCATCGTCTTGCTAGACGACATCATAAGCACTAAGTGAGTGATTCGGTAGCTTCCTCTGACGAACTGGTTTGTGATCGGTTGTTTCCTTTGATTATTGTGTCATTGATTGTACAGATTTTCCTGTTGGCTGTTCCTCTGTTTGACCTCCGACCTTTCTGTCGTTTTTCTCACCTTTCCCATTGGTTGATAGATTGGGTCTATGTCTATAAATCTGTTGACTGCTGACTGACTCACCTGAATGCCAAGCTTCTAGGAATTCTCTGACATTCTTTGTGTTTCCTCTGTCCAAAATTTCCGAATTATCGAAATTGAATTCATGTCCATAATTATCCATGTGCAATGAAATGAGTGACGAAATGTCGTGACGTTTAATAGCCAATTGCTGTTCATGTAGACAACAAAGGCAGAGAAGGCGACCACTTTGTCCAATGTAGTGTTGACTACAGTTATTGCAGTTGATTTTGTAAGTGATATTCAGTTTGTCTTCTTTGTTTGTTGTATTTTTTGATCTCCACAATGATGTTTGTAGGGAATTTGTTGGTTTATGGGCCACACCAATTCCAAGTGATCTCAGTAATCTTGCCGTGACTTCCAACATATTCTTATGTATGGTAGGGTGATGCGTTTATTTATTTCTGTCGACTACTTTGTAGTTGATGATGCACGCGATAGGCATCTTTTTACAAAGTTTCTTTGGGTAGGACACCAAGTAATTTTCTTCATTTCTCCGTGAAGTTGTCTTGCAGTGTGTCCTCACTCTTTTGAATACAGTCTGCACGCAACTGATTTTGTGTGTTGTTTGTATTGTAGTTGGGGATTTCGTCAGTGTGTGTTGGCTTCCTGTACACTTGGGTTTCCAGCTTCCCGGCATTTATGCTACTGACTAAAACATCCAGGAATGGTAGTTGGTTGTTTGACTCCTTCTCCACTGTGAATTTGATGTCATTGAAAACGTTGTTGATCAGACTGTAGGTAATTTCGATATAATCTTTTTTTAATCATGATAGAAGTGTTGTCTACATAGCGAATCCAAATTTTGGTTTAATCACAAGTAGAATGATGACTTCCAGTCTCTACATCACTGCTTCCGGATATCGGTGATCCCATTAAAGTTCTTTTCATTTCTTTGCATATCTTACCATTAAACTGGAAGTATGTTCTCAGACAGAGGTCGATGAAGTCCATCATACTTGAACATTTACGTATTGTGTGTTCTAAAAGGTATGTAGCTTCATCAAGCAGGAGAGATACAGTTTATTTGGCCAATTAGGGTTCGATGGATGTGCATAGTGCTTTGACATCGAAGTATACCATATGCCATTTTTGTATATTCAACATTTCATAGTAGTTTATTAAACCCTTTAATTTTGAAATACTTTTGGACTGATTCCAAATGACTACAAAATAGGTCTTCAAACTAACCATAAATACATAACAACAGAGCAACATTAGGATGAAAAATCATAGGAAGTACTACATGGCCACCGATGACTGACAACAAAATAAGCATTTTTGCTATATTTATAAAGATTTGTCTAGCTTGTATGATTTCAGAGATAGCGATCACTTTAGAGCGTGTGATCAGTATCACTGATACGTTTGAATTTAGAAAAGAAAGTGTTGAACAGTATAGACTGTGACGATAAGAATAAAATCATGTTGATGTATTCCTTAAATTTAGTTAACAGCTCTTACTTGCATAGATTATCTCACTTATTTGACTGGAAAGATACTACTTACTAGTTTATAAATAATTTATACAAGAATGTTCTATTTTTTCATGTGTTGGCTTGTTATTGGGACAATTTATATGTTTTATGAATATCAAGTGTCAAAGTTTTGCTCCGATGAATACTTTAGTAAGAGTTTGTATGCCATCACTGTTAATTACAAAACGCACAATCAGTAGACTTGGTTATGGATGAATTGGCGTATATACAGATAACGTGTCCATCTGACTTGTGTAAAACCAAATATTATTAAGACGAATATCGTCTCTCTTTATCTCGTCAGCTAAGAACAAAAAAAATTTCCGGACTAGTCATTTCTACGCATAAAGTGACCAGTTAATAATGATGAGAAGGATGGTAAAATGTTTGACATAGATGTAAACACCAATTAGACAAATATTTAAGTGTTCCAGGAACTTTTTAGGTATCAAGCGAAGTGAATTTGTTTAACAATTAAACCATAACTGGACAACTTCCACAAAATAGGGCCAGATAAACCTATTTGATACAGATGTAGCTATATTGGGTGATGATTGAAGAGGCAATGAAAATTTGGACCGTGGTCAGCTTCGGATAAGCGACTAATGGGTTTCTGGCCCTGTGCCCTGCCAAACCCGGTGGTCGCTGGTCCAAGTCGGACCAAAGTCCAGATTTTCATTTCATCTTTAATAATCACCCAGTATAAATACTACTCTGCCAAACCCAAGCTATCTCGGATAGTTAAAATGATAAACAGATATAACTTCCGATTACTTGAGTTCTACTTTATTTCAGTAGTTTGTTCAATTTACTTATCTTTCAATAACCTGTTAATCATGGTAATAGTTTATTTGGGTACACATTTATACTTAAAAAAATGCTTCATAAGTAGCAACAAATGAATACTATTTGTGTATCACTTATAGACAGCATTGGTATGTGAAAAATGTCGCCTGACCAATTCTTCCTGGATAACATGAGATTCCTCATTTCTCAGATATTCGAAGTGATCTTATGAAAAGGTGGATAGAAAAAGAATAACATTCGAGTGGACCAAAGTGTGTAGAATGAAAGAAAAGAAATAAATGAGATTTGATGAAAATGTTCCAAGTTTGGGAATGAAACAGAATGTAATACATCTGCGCTATTGCAATCAGTTTTCAAGAGCATCACAAGTGTCCGTGAACATCGATTCCAAAAACCTCCACTGCACCAGCCAATCAGTATACATACCTCCCAACACTCAGATCAACAGTTAAAACCTAAGAAACTGATGCTACGCCTTGTTTTGACCACCTGGAACTCTTTTTAAACCTGGTTCCATTTAGAGTTACATCGCGAACTGTAGCAGGTAGTGGCTGGACATGTTCAACGTATGTACCAAAAACCTTAGTCAGAGAAGGTTCCTAATCTCATCAGCTGACTTGCTATCCTTGCCTAGTACTCTACACTTCAGTTCAATATTTCTCGTGTGATGATTTTATCATGAAGGAGCATATGATCGAAAGTCTGTAACTTTTTCATATCCCACACTCCCAACAGCCATACTGGACAGCCTAACAATAAGATAACCGGACTGCTGAGAAATATAATTGTCCTTTCATATCTTGCCGATACCGTAAAAGGCATAGGTTGGAAAATTCGAAAATGGCCTATTGAATCAGAACACAGATCTTGTCAACAACTAACCCATGAGGACTAATGCAACTCCGCAAGTAGGTGAATTGGCCAACAAATTCTACCAAATAGGCCTGGGAGTATAATTAGACGACGTGTAATGAATAACTGATCATCCACTTCGTTCTTCTCCTTTGCTTCCGTTTAAAATAAGATCAGATTATATTGAGCTGTGGTTCATTGACCAGAGGTATTGACTTTTAACCAGTGGGTAAAGAGGCTGACCCCCGCCCCACCTACCGAGGTTTGGGCAGTCAGGTAGTATTATTAATTCTCACGCAACATGCGTGCCTTATGCCTACTGAAAAAATGTGCACAAGGTTTCTGAGCGCATTTTCTTTTTGTCAATATCATATTGAATAGACGATGAGAGGAATAAGAAAAATATGCACAAGTGTCATTCCCATGACAGCAACGTAAAACACTCGCTCATTAAAGCAAAACAAAGATTTGTACTTAGGTTCTATAACACAGAAAATGGAGCATAGAGGTGATAACTCACATGTCATTGATCGACTCCTGTTAGATGTTTATTTATACTATGTTCATTAATATCTTTTCAGAAGCCTTGTTTTGTCATCAGTTGCATTTCTGAAGATGCAGACGTTTGTTAAGTGGAAGTGTATTAGAACCTTAGGTTTTTAGCAAATAAGCCCTCAGTAACATATAAATCACTACCTGGAAGCTATTTTACGGGAATCAGTTTTATCGGTTATGTTCTTTCTGTCAGTGGCTCTTCAGCTGATATTGATACCCTAGAAGAAAATTACCCTGAATTCAGCATATTTCTCACAAACCAACCAGCAGCCAAATGCTTCCAGCAGTAAAGAGAATGCACAATAACCTAGAAGACACGGTGTATTTATAATTCTCAACGCATACTTTCATAGCGTATTGGTAGATTGATTTCCTTTACAACCGAAAGTTGGGTGGCTACAAATGGTTAAAAAGTATCACATAACAGGTAATAATATAGTAGTGTACATTTCATTTGATGGTTACAGGTAATGCATGTAGCTGCATAAGACAGACAGACAAAATCAACGTACAATCTCGCACACAACAGCATCGATTTAAGTTGCTACACTTCACAAAAAGTATACAGATAACAGGTGGATAGAAAAAGATTGATAAAACAGTAGAAAAAGGTGTATAGGAAGAAAGGAAACTTAAAATTAAGGTTAGTCAAAAAACTCAAGCTTAGCTGTGGTCAAAGAGTGAGTTAATCTACGCCATTGTGACTGCTTTCCAGCCATTTCAACAGGAGACCTCAACCACTGATTCGCATCATCTCGGCGACCTCAACAAAGATAATCTATACCTCTCCATATGGCTACGACCAACAGTCAGGGACTTCATGGGCTAGTACAACGTCTTGGTTTGGCCACCATGAACCTTCTTTCAAAGTAATCCAACTTCCCCCTAGCATAGCATATCGACGTAAGCGGAGGGTCAGAAACATGAAATGTAACATCAAGATAAATAAGTTCAAGCCACCACTCTGTTGAAAAAAGCATCGAAAGAAGAAGACAAAATAGACGAACATAAAGTATTAAATAGTATAATTGTTTTTATATCATACCGTCATTGATTGGACCGAACTGATCGGTCTCTAATGCCTGTATAAAAATAATTATACTAAAACTATACCCGTCGCACAAGAAGTGGCTATCGTGGCTCAGTGGTTTAGTGGATAACGCTCTGGCATCTGGAGCAATTGGTCCTGAGTTCGAATCCTGGTGGGAACAACATCGCTTACTGGGAGGCAGGTACATCCAGCTGACGAGTCCCAAATAGGACGAAATGCGCATCCTGGATTCCACCGCTGGCCACGATCCATCATTAACATAAAGTATCAAAGCCGACAAACATGATATAACAAAAAATAAAAACCAGTAAAATGCTCAGAATATTTTGATGTTGATAAGGTTTGAACATATCACCGTGTTAAAACTTTACAGTATAGACATAAAAATTAGAACAAAACTAACAAACTCTATGAATGATTAATTACAAGAAAATAATTACGGTTTCATTAAACTTACTACTTGTTTGAGAACGTTCACCAGTTGCATCTCGACCACCTTGAAAAGATAGTGAAAAGTAGGAAAAGATGATGTGCAAGTGTGTACTCAAGACAAACTTGATATCGATCAATAACAAGGGAATGTTAAGAATAGTTCTCAAAATAAAGAAGGCTAACAACTCTCTTAATAATCATGTTTTCTTGAATGGAAACAGATCTTGCAATAAACTAGGCAAGCCTGTATGGGAATCATAACAGTTATTCAAAATAGTATAATATGTATGCAATGGTAATTGAATTTAGATCGAATTAGCAAAAACTGTCAGCTGAGCATCGACGTCAACAAGTGGATAATAGAGAGGAAAAACTGACAAAAAATGGAATCTTGTAGAGCTCTTTATCGAATCAGTTGGCATACATGTTGAAGCTACCTTAATCAATAAGGACTTAGAGTCTTGGCTGATTAACCTCTTTTAACCAATATCGTACACATAAACACTGAATCATTCAATTCACGGTTTCACAGTAGATGAACGATTCTTCGAAGGTGACAGTTGTCGACAGATAACACTGTTGTATAGTACACTTTGCCTTTAATAATCAGTCACAAAACGTACTGTTTTAAATGATGAAACTTGGAAGAAAGTTAAAGAACCTATGATATAACAATCAGAAACTGAGTCGATCTGACATGAGAATAACTGACCAGTTACCAAATTATTGGCCAGCTGCAATTTATTAGTATTCAGTTGTAAAATAGCTTCCAGCCCTTCATATTTTGTATTATGCATATAAGCTAGACTTGTATTCGACAATAATAGCTGGTTGTTTTGTTACATTACTAACCGCTAAGTATAGGTTTGTGTTAATATTTTAGTTTTGTGATCACTCATCACTCAACTACACTCTTTATGTTTTATGGAATAACACTCCTTTCTTCGACTGCTGAGATCCTGTCGAAAATCAACGCATCTCCATATAAGGGAAGTGTCTAAATTATCCAATACTTCGCTACTTTACAAAGGAATATGACAAAACTACGTATATGTAAAGAGAGAGATGCCGAATAACAAAAATGATCAAAAAGGTAGGAGCCCTTGTGAATGATAAATTTAGTAGGCTTTAATTACATTTGTATTACCGCTAGATCACCATTAGAAATAATGCTAAATAATAATTATTAAGATCTCAAACCAAACAATCGCCTCATTTCTATGACGCTATCCAAAATCACTTACAGATACTGGCTACACATGATCATCTTACTCTCAGAATCACTAAACGACAGCCAATTTGAAAACTGTTGACAAAGTATGCATCGTTGCAGACTAACGAATTTCTTCGGTATTCGGATGTACCATAATGACAAATAATACTGCGTGGATAAAAACTCAACATATGTAGGAAATACTTATTTCTTTATCAATTTATTGAAGGGATCAGTACTCTTTCAAACTGAAGGGGGATTTTATATATATATAGACTGAAACTACTCCATAGATAGTTCTAAGCACCACTGACTAAGTAAATCTACTATGAAATCTTTATAATTATTTCATAGTTATGCTATGTAACAGGTGAGTAATAAAATACTTTAGAGTGTACTGAATTTGATAGTGAACTATTCTATCTTTGTATAATAATGAAATAATTTGAAAAGATTGTTAATTAAATGTATTTCTATCATATCAAATCGTTCAGCTAGTAGATAAGTATATCTATTTGTGCATAGATTAATAGGCATACACTGAGAAGGCCGACTGGGGACATCATGCTCCAGTCACTCGAGTGTAATCCAAATGGGAAACGACGAGTTGGGCGTCCGAGGGTGACATGGAGGAGATCATGTGAGGAAGAAATAAGAGCTTCTGGGCAGTCGTGGAGGCAGCTTCAAAGGATGGCAGAGAATAGAGTGGAATGGAGACGTGCTACTGAAACCCCATGTTCCACTAGAAACCCAGGCGAAAAATTATAAAATAATAATGATAATAATCTCGCTTGAACTGTTCATTAGTTATACACTTTCTTTTTTACTCTTTCGCTTGAAACATTTCAATGCTTGTTATAGAGTTAGTGAAATTAGAAGGATAATAAGTTAATAAGCTTTTTTTTTCCCTATACCGAAACCGATTGTAAAAAAAATGATACTGACGGTAAAAACAAAATGCATGTCATCAACTAGTACGCTGAATAGATGGAAGCATGAGTAGCTGACTAGAAGAACTGCAGAAGAAAATAAGCATATCGGGAATTCAATTTTAGCTGAGATATTATTATAGCAACTCCAACTTATTATTCATTATAGCAAAAAAAATTTACAACCGCAAACAAAAAATATATTTTCCTTTTTTATGAAAAAATATAATTCGTTAATTTTTGAGATGAATGGGGATTTTAATTTTGAGGTAGTAGTCATCACGGACTTGAGGGTACTGTATAGCTATTTCGTCCTAGTATGGGACGCTTCCAGATGGATATCACAAAGTTCTAATGAGAAGCCATGACCTGTTAGGTCAATCACTCGGAAGGGAATCGGATGGTAACTGAATACCTTGAGTGATAGTCAGGCTATATCGTGAATTGAAAGAAGTTGGAAACTGTGAGCCATTGGACTCTGACACAGTGGGTAAACAGTTAACACGTTCGCCATGAAACCCAAAGGTCCTGAGTTCTATCTCTAGCCGCGTCATGGGTGCATTTTGATGAGGAGTCCCATACTAGAACAAAACAGCTGTCCAGTGCTTCCAGGTTTTCAATGGTTCCCCAACTGGTGTCAGTCCATGACGAATACTATCTGATAATCCATTAATGTCTAATGACCACATTTTTAGAGAATGGCAATTCTGGAGGTGGTGAGAAGACTTGAGAAATAGCGGCGCAGAAAATCTCACTAGATAGAATGTGATACTTTTTGCTCATTTTAGAGTCGTTTACTGGTGCTGATATTCAACGAAAGATTTATATGGAAAGCAGATAGATGGTGAGCATTCGATAAAGTTTATATGTAAACGAGAAATGAAAATGAAATATAGAAAAGCGAAAAGAAGTTGAAGAGTAGTCTGTCTCATGGTTAAATCTGAACTAGAAACTTTCAAATTACCCTTCAAATACTTCGCTGAGGACAGTCTGAGGAAAATGGAGTTCGTAGTCATCTTCATGAGACGCAATGGAATCCAAGATGCGAGTTTCGCCCAGTTTGGGACTTGTCAGCTGGATGCCCCTGCGCCCAAGTTCTCACTGAGACTCAAATCCAGTGCCCATCACTTCAAACACTTCGATGTTTAATTTAGAGGGTTTGTGGGGATTTACTTGTTGAGTTCAGGTTGATATTCACTATGGAGTGACGGGAGTTGGAGAAACATTGGGAAATTGGCGGTTCTAGACATCTGTTTCGTCCTAGTATGGAACTTCGTGGCTAGGGATGAAACTCAGGACCTACAAGTCACTTGGTCAGCACGTTACCATTAAGCCACTGGATTAGAATCAAATGTCCATATTTCCCACTTCTTTTAGTTCGCAAGATAGCGCGACCTTTATCCAATGCCGTAGCTGAGTAACTGTCCTACTGGCCATGACTTCTCATCACAACCTCGAGAACCACCTCTCAAAACGAGTCAACAATAAGCACCAAATCAATTCAATTTGAAGTTTTCTATGGATTTATTTGTTGACTTCAGGTTGGTATTGATCATGGATTGGCATCAATCGAAGAAAGAGTGGAAACCTGTGAGCACTAGACTGCTGTTTCGTCCTGACGTAAGGTTCCTCAGCAGTGGGCACCATGACCTCACCAAGCATCGAAATCAGGACCTTCAAGTCTCACGGCTAGCAGTGCACTTACAAAACGTTTTGAAATAATATACAACTACTAAAAGCAATTTTGAAACTTTCAAAAGATTAATCTACTCACTTTCAATTGCTGCATATTCAGAGATACGAGCATAATTTACTAAGGCGGCTTGTTCCAAACATCGTCGTATCACCTCACGAACTTCTTCAGCAGAAGCTGGAGCACCGGTGTCTTTCATTAAAACCTGATGTTGGAGAGAATTAGTTTGTAAGGAGAACCATATTAATATTTATAAAACAATGATAAAAATCACAAGAGGTATTAGCGAATGGGTGTATAAGTATCAACAAAGATAAACACTTTAATGGACTGAAAATTATTGATTGTCTGTGTAAGAAAAAAAGAAAAGAAAAACTTTCGCTCAATGTATATAAAATTTGATGCTTATCGAAGATACAAGTTAATTGTGTCATAGGAACTTTCTAAAAGTTATTTGGAGGCGTTATTTCAAGTCATGTGACTGTTTTGAACTACATTTAAACTATTTAAAAGTGGTTGAACGGAGTCCAGACGAAGATGATTAAAACTTCTTTAAAGTAGGAAAAAAATTTTATGTGTATCACTGACATATCAGTAGAGAATTTCTTTTAATGAAGGGTTTTATTTTTCCATATACCTTATATATTTAGTCTTTATTAGTTGACTATCTGAGACTAATATTTATACTCGGTGATGATTAAACGTGAAATAAAACTATGAGCCGGGGTCGAATTCGAGCCAACGACCACCAGATTCCCAGTCAGATGCTCTTAGCTCAGTTGGTAGAGCATCCGGCTGGAAACCCGGTGGTCGCTGATTCAAATCCAACCACCGTCCAAATTTTCATTTCATTTCAATGGATCAGATCACTGTTTCTGCTGAGACACACCCAGCTATGGAAATTCAAGTTTTTTTCGCAAGTTTTTATTCATCATGGACTAACATCAGTTGGAGGAGCATTGGAAACATGCGAGCACAGGACAGCTGTTTCATCCCAGGACGAGACACCTCACCAGTGCCCACCCACGACCTTCAGGTTCCACGGCCAGCACGTTACCATAGGTTCGAGAGGTGACTCCTGAAGTTCCAATCAGAAGTAGTGACCGGTGAGGCAAACCGGATGGAAGTGAGGACAAATACTCAATGATAACATTAAGTGATGGTCGCGCTATGCCGTGAACTGATAGAATTTGGGGATATAGACTACTGGATTCTGATCCAGAGGTCCAATGGTAACATGCTGGTCACGGAACCTGAATGTCCTGGATTCCATCCCTGGTGTGCTGTCATGGGTGCGCACTGGTGAGGTGTCTCATATCAGGACGAAACAGCTATCCAGTGCTCCCAGGTTTCCATTGTTCCTCCAACTGATATCAGTTCATGATGAATACCAACTTGAGAAAAACGCTTGAATTCCCGTAGCTAGGTGCTTCTCAGAAGAAACAGTAATTTGATCCATTCTTTGTCATCAAGAACTAGAAGAATTTGCAGAGGTGATACCATCGATGATCAACTGGACAAACGACAGAAGATTCTGATACAGAATGAATACCCATCCAGGTTTATCGAGAAAAACTTGAAACCAAAACGAAATACGGATGAAGTGCTCACAGTTCCAAAGAAGACTTTATTTATGAACGTTAGTTTCAAAGGAGAGGTGGCAGCAGAGATCTTGAAGAATTACCTGTCCAAATTGCTGAAGAAGACATTTGTCTCTGCGACGCTACAGACCATCTTATCTAATCAGCAATCGGTTACAGGGTGTGTTAAGCACAAGTTACCAATTTGGGCTACCTAAGTGTTTGTCTACAAATTGACTTATTTATGTGGTGCTGGTAATATAAGCCACAGAAAGTCCAAACTTACCTCAGTACTACCCTGTATGGTTGTCGAGAGGAGAATGTAAGTCAATTAACAGTTATATTTCTGAACAGAAGTCTGATGCTGGACATATAGCTCCACAAAAGTCCTTCTTCATTGTCATTTATACAGTCAAACGGAATAATTCAAAAGGAATATGCTTTTGAAAGTTGTGCACAACAGAAGTACTAGCAATTCACCAATTCAAGCCTGATTTCTGAGTGCAGAAGAAGTATATTCAATCTCATACTTTATCATGGTCTTAACACTTTCACAACTTTTCGATTTCATTATAACTAGTTAGTTTACTGTTATCACGTTTACTATGACCCTTATTTCTTTCTTCATCTTCTTTATATCTATTAAGTGGACATACAATCTTCACATTTCATATCTACTAACAATATTCATCTTGTCAAACTTCTTACCTTTCTCATTATTTCTGTAACTAATTTTCATTCTTGATTTCGGTTTTTTTAGCACTAGCCTAATGATGAAACTATACCTCATTGTTTAATGATAAACTTTTATAAGTTTACGACATATAAACACGATAATACCGTTTTAAAAAATGATATCATCAAAAAAGGAAATTTTCCCCACGAATTATCTTCCAGTTTCTTTATGATTCATTGGACGAAACGTTATTTGATTTGAAGACCTTCAACATGATCATAATGGTAGAAACAAATAGATGTTATCATTCTTAGTTGTATTTTATGTTGTTTAGTTGACCAAACAACTCAGTTCAGAGAACACAATACAACCAAGACCGTCCACTTCCGCTACAAATATTCTCCGCCATTTCAAAATCATACAAGCATAACCTGCTTCACGTTGTTATACAAGACGGGAGAACTTTTCCAAGAGTCAAGCTTCCATAAAAGAACAACTATTCTTTCTCTGTGAGATATTATCATCCTTTGTATATCTTTATGAGAAAATCAAGCCTTTATAATGAATGTACTTATGATGTTATCAACTGATAAAATTATGTTAGTGAACAATTTGTTCCACATTATTAAAATCAACATTGAGTAAACAATTGAACTGATCACTTGCAAAGAATTTGCTTTAACAATCCCTAATACTCAACGTTCAAGTGATCAGTATCATCGATGGAACAACTTGATTAATCTGCTCATTTTATTGCTTGAGCAATTTCTAAGAAATAAACGAAAAATATTTGTAATTTGACATACATGTAAAAACAAATACCACTTACCCTTTCTAATAAACCTAAAGTTAATTTTAATGCGCCTTCTGGACGTCCAAATGGAAAATAATATCGAAACTCTGTAATCTGTTTCTCGAGTAGTGCATAGAGACGTTGACGAATCTCCATGAACATTTGACGTTCGTCAACAAGAACTGTACGAATATTTGTGTCTTGTCTATGAAAAATTTTTTTATTTTAAAATACAGAAAATAATTCAGTTATGTAGGTGAATTATCGTTGAAAGAGTATTAAAAACTTTCACTTTCACTTCCAAAACATGAAATACTACTAACTTGATAATTAAGTTCATCAGTGTAGAAGGTGATATGATTCAAACTGTGTGCACTTGCTTTCTAAGAAAGACAATTAAAACGGGTAATATTTGATTTCCTTCTGCTTCCATTTTGCCATCATCATCCTTTTACCTAAATAATCAAAATATTTCTAGTATGATAAAAACACGTCTCAGTTGCAGTTGAAGAACTGATATTATATTTAGTATTACTATCTAAGGCATCGATTTTCAACACTGATGCCAGTCAAGTCAGTGCTTCTATGTGATGGTTGAGAGACTTGGCGCGTTACGAAAAGCAATTCCAACAAACTACAGACATACATCATCAATAGCTGCCTATGCTAGTTACTGAAGATCAGATGGCCAGAAACAATAAGCAACAGGAAACTCTGGCTTGCCAACGAACCAACCAAGAACCTATAACTCAACAGATATGCAGAGGGAAATGGAGATGGACTGGGCATGCACTGAGACCATTCGGGACATCACGTGCCAGTCACTCGAGTGAAACCCAGATGGGAAACGATGAGTTGGGTGTCCTAGGGTGACATGGAGATCATATGAGGAGGAAATGAGAGCTTTTGGGCAGTCGTGGAGGCAGCTTCAAAGGATTGCAGAGAAGAGAGTGGAATGGAGATGTGCTACTGAAGCCCTATGTCCCACTAGGAACCCAAAGAACAAATAATAATAATCTAAGGCATCAGCTGTTCTAAACAAAGCTAGCTGGTGTTTTTTGAGACACGTTTTAAATACATAATCAGTATGTTGGAAGACAATAAACATTGCTATTTTACAAGTGACTAGTTTGGAGTCGAAGAAAACAGTAAACACCATGACATTGTGATCTTAAAAACGAAATACTATTATAGTGTATAAAAAGACTGCCCGGATCCGCGGTAAGGCGCTTTGCTTCAAAGTTTCCAGAAAAAACAAACCGGTGAACTGAACTTGTAGTTATCAATTTGGTCGAAGAAGCAGGATCGATAGGATATGCTCTTCTAGAAAGACGTAGACCATCGTTGATGTATATAAACTTTTGTACTTTGTACATATTTTGACGGCACAATATACCATGTGTTATCTTATGACCTTTTAAATTTACCAAGGGACTGAGTGACTACCAAGGGTAGACCACGGTGACAAGTTTAGTCAACTTATGTAGCCTTTTTACAACCTTTTGTGTTTCAACCAAAATCTATTGTGATTTTACATAATCATAGAATGGGAAAAATTAGAAGTAAACTGCAAAATAAGACAAAATTGAAGCTTACATCTGATAAAATATGTAACTAGGCATGATGTTGTAATAATGATAATATTTTAATAATTGAATGCAAGCCAAATTCTGTAGTAAATCTAAATATATTAGCTGGGGATTTCGCCTGATAACAATGAAATATAACATCACTCCATAGTATTCCATTTTAGAAGTTATATGAGAATCTGAATGCCTTATTCAATCAAAAATAACCTCTTAAAACATCAAAGATAATGCTACAAACAAGTGATGAACGTGTGAAAGGATAAACTTCCCAGTAAAATATTTTACATGTAAAAATGTTAACTTCAGAACAAGATCCATTTCAGTCAGTTTACTAAAGTTATCATAGAGTGAAACAGTGTTACTTACAGCCCACTACCAAATGAGATAAAAGCAACTCAATGGTTGTCATAATACTGTTTTACTATGTGATAATCCTAATAAACAGACTTGAAATGGAATTTGTACAATGTAATAATAAAATATTTGACCAGATTGCAGCGAAGACGGGACTTCAGGTGAATATAGAGAAGACAGAAGTGATGAAGATACCGCACCACCACCATCAACAACAACAACAAACTCCAATCACCGTCAACGGGAGAAACTTAAAGTAAGTAACCTCCTTCACTTATCTAGGAAGCACTGTTTCAACTACAGGCGGGACGGACGAGGACGTCAAAGTCAGAATCGGAAAAGCAAGACAGGCGTTCATTAGCCTGAAACCAGTGTGGAGATCTTCTGCACTCAGAATGCGGAACAAGATACGGATTTTCAACACCAACGTAAAGTCAGTGCTCTTGTATGGTTCAGAGACTTGGCGCGTCACGAAAGGTATTTCCAATAAACTACAGACATTCATCAACAACTGCTTACGCTCGCTACTGAAGATCAGATGGCCAGAAAGAATAAGCAACAAGGAACTCTGGGAACGAACCAACCAAGAACCTATCACGCAACAAATATGCAGGAAGAAGTGGAGATGGATTGGCCATGCACTGAGAAGGCCGACTGAGGACATCACGCGTCAGGCCCTCGAGTGGAATCCCCATGGGAAGCGACGAGTTGGACGTCCGAGGGTGACATGGAGGAGGTCGTGCGAGCAGGAAATGAGAGCTTCTGGGCTGTCGTGGACCAGGTTCAAAAGATCTCAGAGAACAGAGGTCACTGGAGGCGTGCTACTGAAGCCCTATGTTCCACTAGGAACCCAAGGGACTAATAATAATAATAAAATGGTGGTTATTTGCCCAATACATTTCAACAATCTGGTCAAATATTTACTTGTGATGAATATAGGGCGGGCTAAAGTAAATAAGATAATACAAGATTTTGGTAAATGTAGGGATAATAAAGAAGAATAATACACCTCCTCTGGTATTAAAATGAGATAAAGATTACCAAAGTAGGTTTAAAGTACAAGTTGTTTTTGAATACACATAAATGGGGTTTGAACTTTCTTAGTTCGACTTCATAGTTTGATTACTTCTCCCAATGTATGTGGCACTGCACATATATGTAACTTGGTATACACGTCGGGACGTGACCTTATCATCTGTGTAGTGATGAACTTTATTTTGTAGCTTAGGTTTCTTCACAAAAGTATTTAGCTTGTCTGCATAGTATGACTTTTTAATCACTGAATTACCTTTCGTTTTAAGATCGTGTTGTTCTATTCCCTCTTATACGATAGCGTAATTTAAAGGTGCTTCATCGAGACAGAATACTGATTGTGTGTGCATGTGTGGTAACGCATACATTGAGAGGAGTAATCAAACTGTGAAGTCGAGGGTGGTGGTGGATATCCCTTAATGACCAGGAAAACAATAACATCCAAATAACTTGATAGATACAGGGGGCAGACAGGCGTCATCCTCTATAGATAAACACATTACAGAAACAGATCACAGAATTGACCTCAAAACAGCCTTTAGATCATTGGAACCATCAAGACAGTAAACTCACGTACACTGAAGCCTCAGCTATATGAAAGTTCAAACCCCATTTGTATGTATTCAAAAACAACATGTCCTCACCTTAAACCTACTTTGGTAATCTTTATCTCATTTTAATCCCAGGGGATTATTATTATTATTATTATTTCTTATTATCTCTACGATTACCAAAATCGTGTATTATCTTAATTTATTTACCTTACCCCGCCCATATTCACCACTTATACAAAATGTCTTGACAAGTAAATGTTTGACCAGATTGTTTGAAATGTATTACGCGAATACATCATATTTCTTAGATAACCAACGCTTTCTTATATTACACTGCAAACCCATCAAAGGGGATAATTATTTTGAAATGGAATTCCAATCTATCACAGTGCTGAAGTTTTATTCTTATTTCAAAACAAGGTACTAGTAATATAATCATTGAAAAGTTTTCACTACATAAATAATCTATTTAATTGCTTAAAAGCATAATTTCATCATCTCACCCCTTACAATTAATCTATTTCATGACAGTGCTCAAAAAGTGCCATCGATTGAAGAATCAGCTATAAGATTGAAACAGGTTGGTTCATATTTTTCAGCTGAAAATAATACAGAACAACCATTCCTAGATGTCATAAGGAAGTAGTTAACTTCATTTTTAACTTAGTTTCGATTGATATTTTTGTTTTCATCTGCGAATATATATATGAACAATGCTCCGATGAGATAAGAATAATGATAGAACAATGACCTCAACACGATACTCAGCTGGCACCAGAAGGAGACGATTGAATTGGAAATATATTTACTACAACCCGATAATGCGAGTATAGCTGAAAGTTCAGTCGTTTGTATACCTTTTTAGGAGCCTTGATTAGGGAAAACAAAATAGCATGTTCAAAAGGCAAAATGATTCACTCAGCGTTTAGTATCCTAAACCACGGTAAAAAAATAAGTAACATTGTGTGGCGTGAAAAACGCAAAAAAAATAAGGTTTAGATTTTAAGGATCAATGTTCTTTAACAGTTTTCTCACAAGATACTGATTTGTCTCGAAAAAAGCCTCAGAATAGTTATCCCTTACAAAAACTCAAGGGAAAAAAAAAATTAAATACTTACGTATTCCCGAATACATGACAGCAACAGAATGCATAGGAATAATGTATAATAGCAGGATCGATAATTATACCTTGTTCAGCACGATCAAGTAAATCACTTAAGTAGCATAAATGCCTATGACATCCACGTACACCATAACGTGCACAATATTCATCTAATATAAACATTTGACTTGGACTGAACCAACCAAGTGATACATATGAATCTTTCATACGATAATCTAATGATTTTGATTGTAACAAGGCAAATAGTTCAGCATGATTAATTTTCCATGGTTCAATGCTGACAAACTCATCTAATCCATGTTTACGAGCACGATCCACATCTAAAATATGAGAAATGAGGAAAAATAAGATGGTACAAAGCAGTGAAAGGACGAATAACAGAAGAACTAACCAAATATCAATAAAATTTAAGAGGATGATGAATATTTATAGCTCAGAGATCATAAGACTTCTGAAAAGAGAACTTCAACATATAAACACAAATTGATATTTATTATGGACTGACATCAGTTGAAGAAACTTTAGAAACCTGGGAGCACTGGGTAGCTGTTCCGTCTTAATATAGGACTCCTCAGCAGTGCACATCCCTGATCCTACCCCGCCAGGGATAGAACCCAGGTCTTCAGGTTCCGAGGCCTGCACGTTACCATTCAGCCACTGGGTCAGAACCCAATGGTCCATACCAACAACTTCTGTCAGTTCACGACATAATGTATTGGCCACGGAACTGAAGGTCGTGGGTCTGATTTCTGGCGGTGAGGGGTCATGGGCGAGCGCTGCTGAGGAGTCCCATATTAGGACAAAACAGCCGTCTACTTCTCCCTAGTTTTCAATGTTCCTCCAATTGGTGTTAGTGCATAATGAATACCAATTTGAAAAATCACCAGATCCCCATCAATATCACATCAACACCAAGTTTATGCTGTTTCTTGCACAAACAAACTATTCGACTGTGTTCTCTAGAGTGAAGTTACCACTAAACAGATAGTGACGACTTACAATAAAACATGGTTTTTGAGTGGATGCTAATCATGTATAGTAGAATCGTTGAGAGCGCATATCGACCATAGGCGTAGAAATACGGGGAGATATGGTACATCAGCCGATTAAGTTGTAGATTTACGCCGAACAAGTCTCAGATATATTATGTGAATCTAACCACTTCATACACTGGCCTAACATGAATCGTACTGGATTATGCAGAAGCTAAGAGAAACTTGATTGTGACTTTACTACTTATGTGTCATACAAGGAGGAGTAGGCTATCTGGTACAGATCATCGAGGAATGAGAAATCAGAAGATGAAGATCATAAGTACAAAAGTTGGTAAAAATAAATAATGAAAAAGGTAATCATACCTAATTATTCATTCAAATCCGGAATAGTAAATTAAACCTCAAAACAGACGTTCTCTTTCATTGATTAGTCTCTAGAGGGTAACTAACTTTATCTTGTCCAGTTCTAAGTCCCGATCAAATTCTACCGATCATTTTGCAATATGGCCACCACTGAGCATCGCAATGCACTTTGACAGATGTTAGTTGGATGGAGTCCACTCCTAGTGGAGGTCAGTTGCAGCCCGAATAGCTCAGTGGTAACGTCGCTGACTACAACACTGGGTGACGCGCGTTTGAGTCGCAGGTGGGGCATCAACTCTCTTGAAGTTGCAAATATGCCATGCTGACGAGTGCCAAAAAACAGAAAACCTAAGTCCGCAGCTTCCTGGAGATTACTTCTATCTACTTAACGGATGTTCTTTTTCTACGTATCTAATTTGACATCCATCTATTTCTATCGAGTTATTCGTCTTTTTTTACAGAAAATATATAGCGTGAACCGAAAAACTTTGTGTGTAAAATTTCACATTATATAAACCTGTTTGCCTGGTACAAAAAAGCTAGAACTCTACATCCACGGACTTTGGTATGGTTCGAAATTGATAAGTGATCAGGAATACATTTTCAAACCTTTGTGTTTACGACATAAATAGCAATAGTATTATATTAATTTTTTTCACTTTCAATATTCATTCAGCTTGCAGACCGTTGTCATCAGCATTTCTCAAGACAGTAGATGTTGCATGTTAATGAGACCATCTTCTGACAGCAGTGACAATCCTGCTTCCCTTCAAAAAGCTGTATCATAACCAAGACAGTGAATAACAGGCGGGAAAAAATTAAGTATCAGGATGCAAGTATGACAAAGTGAAGCATTATATAGTTAACTCATTTTTCACAGAAATTAGTGGGTATCGCTATTTGTTTGCATGCTGTGCGATGAATAATCATTGAAAGAGAAAAAAAGGCAATTAGGTTGCTTAAAATGTATGACATCTGCTGAAGAGTAAATGTTTATGTTACTAGTGCTTTTTTGGTCATAATTCGATGAATACAATTTAGTTAAGATTAGTCTTTCATGTCATCCTCTACCTTCTAACTACGGATCGAAGTCTGTGGTCGCGTCAGTGTATGAGTAATATGCACTTCAGTTATTAGATACGGACTTATAATGCATATTAAAGAATCCATACATCCATCCATCCTAATCAACATAAGATCGCACAACGGTTCAACTTGACACACCTCATATCACTACATCAAGTAAAAAGACAGTGAACTGCAAGACGAAGAAAAGGAAATTCACTCAAAACAAAGATAAAGTAAGAAAAGAGAGGAAGGAAGAATGAGAAAATGGTGAGATTCGGTATAGTGTCGTTAAGATGAGGATAATGTGTGTATACATCTGCGCCACTGACATCGGTTCTGAGCTATATCACTTAGAGTCAGTCTCCAACCACTGGTTTCTCTTCTCACGCTGACCCCAACCGACTGGTCTGCATCGCCCCACATAGCTTAAACCAACAGTCAAAGACTTCATACATTGATGAAATGTTTTAGTGTGGCCACCTCAGGCGTTTTTCCAGGCTGATCCTACTTCGGTCGACATTGTGTGACGAGGCAGATGGCGAATACGCATGCGTAACACATATCCCAACCATCTCAGTCGATGAAGGTTCACAACCATACACAAAAGGATTGGTGTGACAGGCCTCAGAAAAGTGTCCGATGGGCTCTGTGGTCACACAAATCTCTTTCAGGTACCTTAAGAAGAAATAGCTTTTCACGGTGTGGGCAGCCAGAAAGTGTCAACTGCTCTCACAATTCTGTCAATACTTAAGTTTTTTTCAGACTGCTATCCACCTCCTTCATCATTACCCTATAATCTACCATCACAGTTCTCAATTAATGATACTACATCATCTTCAATTTCTCCTAGCTCTGCAGCCTTCAACAACGATCTGAATGCACAGAACAGCATAACTGGTCTCTTTAAACCACGCTACAAATTACATGTTGGACCCTTCAATGTCCGCACACTACGTCAAGTTGGTCAACAGGCATCATCGATCAAGACTCTAGTAACTTGGACCATGGATGTGTGCCGTATTTGTGGGACACGCATACAGGACCTAAGTGCTGTTATTCACCTAATCTCTGTCGGCCAATCTGGTGAATCCGCAAAATTCACCCTTCGAGTTTCTAGAGATTCGATGGCTAGCTCTCGTGGTCTTGCATGTGTAGGCATAGCATTAGGCACTAGGGTAAAGAAAACTCGCTACTAGACTGGATCCCAGTTGATAGTCGCCTCTGAGCTTTCCGACTGAACGGCACAGCGAGAACTAGAAGGAACAGTGAAACTTGCCGTTGTCTCTTTGTAATCTCTGCTGACACACCCACTGACTGCAGTTCAGGTGAAGTGAAGGACAAGTTCTACCGAAAACTGTCTTGCCATATCAAAGAATACTTGCTAGCATCTGATATTTATCGTATTGAGAATAGATTATGTACCTTCGTCAAGAAAAATTACTAAAATGTCATATCAATAAGAATACTGCAATTCTAAATATTTTCAGTTGCTAAGAGACTTGCCAATAATATGAACATTTTTCAGGTGATCAACGAATGGTATTACACTATCCGTATGGTGTTAGAGTTTCATATATATATATATATATATATATATATATATATATATATATATATATATATATATATATATATATATATATATATATATCATATCGATAATGCCTAAAAAACTTGTGATTTGATTGTGACAAGTTTATGGAATACGTATATATGGCATAGTTTATTTTTTCCTTCAGCTGTGAATCCGTTTACTTTTTGCTGGAAATCTCAGATCTATAAATTGATTAAATCAAGTAATTAATTACTTCTTGATGCTATTTTCCATCAAGAATACATCATTTATGTAACACTGTTTCAAACTAGCGCATACTCATAAATTATCACAGGTGTTCATCTTGTTCATATGAGGTGTTGACTAAATCACAATGTTTGAATAACCTAAAAATCTTTACTTTACTTATGAGAAAAAAATAAGAATACAAGGTTTCTAAGTAAGTTCTTAACCTTTAATGCTGTTAAGCGAAAATTAGGCATACATGACTGTATATTTATTCAGTTGAAGTCAACAAGCTAAGATTCGTGTTCCGCGACCATTTATGACAGCTTATAGTGCGACAGACAGGTAATACCAACATGGAATTTAGCACCACATAATCTTAAAATTTTCCTACAAAATTGAGTATCAAAGAAATTCAGTTTGGGGGTTTGTGGGGATTTTCTGATTTCAAGTTGGTATTCATGATGGACTGAAATCAGCTCCAGGACTGGTGTCAGTCCATGATGAATACTAACTTGAAATCCATAAATCCCAACAAACACCCCAAAATGAACTAATCAAGAGCTCATTGATGACTAGCTTCCAGAGGGGATTACTAAAGTTCCAATAAGAAGTCATGACCGATGGGGCAAACCTAGTAACCGTGACGACAAATATCCAACGATGACATTCGGTGATGGTCGCGCTACGTCATAAACTGACAGAAGTTGGAAATATGGATCATCGGATTGCGACTTAGTGGCTCAATGGTAACTTGCTGACCACGAATCATGAAGGTCGTCAGTTCGATCCCTGGAGGCGTGGGGTCATTGGTGCACACTTTCGAGGAGTCCCATACTAGGACGAAACAGCTGTCCAGTGCTCTTAGATATCCATCATTCCTTCAACTGGTATCACAGAAATACTTGTCAGAATGGTTTAGTAATACTTTTTACCACTTAAACCTCAATTTTTTAACGAATTAGATTGATCCTATTGAAATAAACTTTTCCTAGATAACCAGTATTCTATGCTATTTTAAGAATGAAGCAATCAACATGAATACAGAAGCTTGCAGTTATGGAAAATGCCGAAGTTTACAGTGAATCGATATGTAGGTAGATATTTGGCTCATATAATAATACAATCTAACTCCTTCTGTACAAGATTATCCGAACATATTTTTCGCGCTGTATTAGTGAGGCATTTAACCAGGTTTGCTTTCACCGAGTTGGTACATGACTAAGAAAATGTATATACTGACTCATAGATGCGGTGTTCCTGTAAATACATCTGCTGAGTGAAACATCGTCTCTTCTGCTCAGCAAGATATCCAAGAAGTGTAGTTTACTAGCATTTCCTTCCTCCCAGGTGAAAGTTAGTGAAGTATGCACCTCATTAAATTTTCTTAACACCTCGTTTCTATCCACATTCTAATCCAGGATAATGAATGTGTCGTCAATATAGTGGTGATACATAGTCATCTCCTTATGACCTCTTTCAATCCTCCATTCTCCAGTTTGGTAAGAAATATATCAGCTAAAATAGGGCTGAGTGGCGAATCCAGAGCTATCCCATCAATCTGTCTATAATGAGAGCTAATGAAGACAAAATGTACATTTATAGTACATTTAAGAAGTAGTTCCTTGAGGATGTGTACAGGAATCTCGATGCTGATTTGCCTTTCAGATATTTGTCGACAGACAAACTCTAGTAATGGCTAATTAGGGAATAATGATGAGATATCACGCGACATTATACGTTTTTCGTTTACATTGCTATACAACTGACGAATTATGCAAGTCAACGAATAATCATAAAGCATGAAAATTAAATGTAATCAAAATTCATTAGATAGACATACAGTAAACAAACTTGAATTCACAAGGGTCAAAAAAGATTATTCACAGCCTATTTTTGCACACAGAGGTTAGGTTTAAAATGTTCGATTGAGAGGGTCTTGTATAAAGCGTGGTATAAGCATATATTTTTTCTTCGGAAACATCTATTTCATATCCAGTTTCCATCTGATGTCTAGCTGGTGCATTTTACTCCCTCTCAAACACAAATCTAATGGAACACTCTCGTAAAATAAGGTAGATACGATTCTCTCAATCTTTTCCATGTACTTTCTTGCACATGTAAATTACTAAATACAGTTGAAGGTGAATAAGATGGTTAATATCAAGTTGTACGCAACTGAAGAATATCCTTGAAAGAAAATGATGTCATTTTATTCTGAAAACTGTTAGCTTTTGCTTCATTCATTTTGCAATCGACATTTCTAAGTGATAATTATCAACCAAAGATATTTAATCCATTCAGACTAATGACTGATCATTACTAGGGTGATTAAAAAAGTTGATAGAGTCACTAACAAACGTCTTTTAGATTTACTTACCCCCTTGTGTTCTACTTCCAAGGTTTGACGTGTTACTTCGAGAAGCTGAAGCAGTAGATGATGATTTATTCCCAGATGTTAAATTAACATTTTGTAGACTGGTACAATTACTCCCAGAAGCATCTTTAGACGGTGGAATAGGTTTATGTGTTTGCCCAGTAGCACGATAAATTGATTGTATCCATAATTGACGTTCATTTTCATCATCTGTTGCAAATATAAGACTATCACCTTCTTTGACTAAATTAAGAAAGTATTTACCGCCAGTAGATGCTAAATCTGTAATAAGAATATGTAAATAAATAAAGTATGATAGAATGTTATGCCATATAGTATTTGAAGTTCATTCATGAATGAATAATAATTTAAGGAAGCAACAAAATCAACTTAGCCAACTATATCCTATAGACATGTAGTTGTTATATGCTCAAGAGACATATTGTCTTAAAAACTTGGTCTTAAACTATTATTGTAATAAAAACTTCATAATTTATCATTAGAAATAATGTAAAACAATACACCAGTCCACTTGTATATTAACCAATGAAATCCATGTAAATTATGAATATTTCTTTTATTTTTGTAGGTAAAACGACTGAGTATAATGATCAAAAGTTTTATATTGTTCTCGATAAACATCAGTGAAATATATAAACCATATAATTAACTATATAATAAGTTATTTGTTATTGTTAAGCTCTGCCTTTTAAGTGAATATTTATTTAGCCTTACTCTTCAGAGGTTCAAAAATCAAATCATTTACAAAAATATTTACAAGATGAAAATACAACAGAAAAACGACTGTTTAGGAAGTTTTTATGAGAGAATTCAAGGAGAACATCAGTTATACAATAAATTGGTCTGTAAATTGAGGTTAAATATTCCCATTGTGATAATTAGAAAATAGAGTTTCAAGCGAATACATATTTTCGGTAAATTCTCGTCAAGCTTTAACATTTACAAATTATTCAGTATAGTCCTCATTTGATATCAACATGGTTAAATTAATTCGGGTATATGAATGAGGATAGCACAGTAAAAGTGATAATAACAAGGAAAAAACTTCTAAAAGTCTATATATTTCCAGTGGTCACTCCTTGTAGGTGTATGAGTGAATTGTGTGTGTACAGGGATAGATGGAAATAAAATTATTGTCGCATAGAGATTAGATAATAAAAAATTCTTAGTGAATTATGAAACTAAGGCCAAAAAATATATTATGATAATGACAGGAGTACAAACAGAGATAATATTTACATTTATCCGGGTGACCGAGGAGAAAATTATTTTAACTGTATCTGCGTTGAAGTTGAAAGCCATGGGAGGGAAATGGAATGAACAGACATCTTCTGAATACATAAATTGGGTTTGAAAATTTTAATTGTTACGGCTTCTGCCATGCTTAGCAATCGGAAGCGCACAAACTTAGAGTACTGTGATAGGACTTTGTAAATAACGCTGAAGTTTTGTCAATCTTATGCTCAGTATCCACTAGATAAGCGAGTATTGAGCCTTTGACGGAAATCACTGACCTTTGTCTAACCATGTTGGACGGTGTTCAATGAAGCAATGATGGGCTTGCTGAGTTATACAACAAATTTTACTTAATAATTATATGTTATCATTTGACTATTTGAGATACCCAGAGTTTGATAGACTAGTATTTATACTGGGTGGTGACTGCAGGTAAGATGAAAATATGGACCGTGGTCGGATTCGAACTAGCGACCACTGGGTTACCGGCCCGGGGCTCTACCAACTAAGCTACGAGGTTCGACTGCTGACCAGAATTTCATTTCACTTCAATCACAAGGTGGGGTTTCGCCCGACTACCATGTGAACTCGTGACGCGGTTTGGAAGACTAGTAATTGTACTAGGTGATGATCGAAAGTGAGATGAAAATCTAGACCGAGGTCGCAGTATTATCTCTAGATTTTGCCTCTTTATATCACGACTGTTCTCTTTATATTGATTTCATTGCACAACTGACCCAATACATTGATATGTATTCTACCATCCTGATAAAAAAGTTATTGTGTTAGGAAGTGGCCAAAAATGGAAACCATCATTCAAGGTCATTTACCTTTGGGGTAGGAATATATTCGTTTCAACTCTTGATTTATGTTCATCTCATTGGTGATCTAGAGGTTTCATTTTCTGAGTAGCAGCTGTGTGTAAATATCATGTTTTTTGTCAAGTAAATTCGTTTCCTGAAGTCAGTCACAGGCCTGTCTTCCGATTTTCGCGGCTCAGTGAAGTATCAGGTATAGGGGAAAATAGGCACATTACCCATACCCAGTCCAAGTATCTCGTTGAGTCATTACTCGTTTCGCTTATTATTAAAACCCACGTCATACTCCGACTGTTACATCATATAGAAAAGAATTAATTTTGTGCACGAGTAGTTATTACAGAACCCATTTATTATTTTCGGTTGTTCTAAAATTAGTTGTAGAAAAACATGGTAACCTGGGTTTCAGCAGGATAATTGTGAAATCACATGCTTCATTAACCCCATATAACTAAGACGACACTGTGGTGCTTGCGAAGAGTGTTTGCATTCTGAAGGTTTTGCTTTATAGGTGGATTGAACAAGTGTTCTTCGATTTACGAATAGCCAATAATGTGATAGGTGAATTTGAGAGTTTGCAGGGACTTCTTGACTTTTTCCAAGTTGGCACTCATCATGAACTGACATCAATTGGAGGAATATTGGAAACCTGGGAGCACTAGACAGCTACTTTGTCCTAGTATGGGACTCCTCAAAAGTGCGAATCCATAATCCTCCCCTGGCAGGGATCGAACCAAGGATCTTTAGGTTCCGTAGCTAGCAAGTTACCATTGAACCACTGGGTCGGAATCCAATGGTCCATATTTCTAACTTCTGTCACTAAATCTCCATAAAGCCCAAAATTTAATTGATCTAGAGCTCATCGGTGACTAGTTTCGAGAGGTGATTACTGAAGTCCCAGTCAGAAGTCATCACCTGTGGCGAAAACCTGGTGTATATGAGGACAAATATCCAACGATGATATTCGGCGATGGCCGCGTTATGCCGTGAACTGACAGAAGTTGACAATATGGACCACTATATTCCGACTCAGCGGCTCAACGGTAACGTGCTAGTCACAGAACTTGAAGGTTCTGAGTTGGATCCCTGATAGTGTGCGGTCACAGGTGGGCGCTATTGAGGAGTTCCATACTAGTACGAAACAGCTGTATAGTGCTTCTAGGTTCAAAATGTTCCTCCAACAAATGTCAGTCCATGATGAATACCAACTTGAAAAATCTGATAAGTATGTATCAAATGGTTTCAAACAATACATAATGTTCCGGGATAATAGAATAGAAAAGAAGAAAGAGGCAAAACACAGATGCGTGCAATTACGATAGTGAATATTCATGGAAAAATGTTCTACCTAAGTTATGGACAATAAATTAATTCTATTCCTCAATGTGTCCAACCGGTGACTTTGTCACCTTTGACAGACTTCAGCTGCTAGACCAACAGTTGTTTCACGTAACTCACATAATCTTTTTTCCTTCTGAAATTAGCAATATTACCCTAAAAACTTATTTATATGTGCGAGATAATGTGTAAGTCAGATAGACAAAATCAACGTAGAACCTCTCACACACGTGTATCAGCTCAAGTTACCACACTTCACAGTAGTATACAAAGAACAGATGGATAGAAAAAGACTGATATCAGAGCAGACACAGTTGTATGAGAGAATTAAAAATCTGAAGATGACGGTTGGTGTGAATATTCAGGCTTTAGAAGATATCAAGGAGTGAATACATCTGAGCCATTGTGGCCGATTTCTAGCTATCTTACCAATAGCCCTCAATCACTGATTCTTCTCATCTTCGGGGACTTCAATCAGGCAGTCTACATCTCCCAACACGGTTTAGACCGAACGTTAGGGACTTCTTGGACTAGCACCACGTCTTGGTCTGGCCAACTTGAACCCTCTTCCAACCTAGTCCAGCTTCCCCTAGCATAGCACATCGAGGTAAGTTGGGGTTCGATATGCGCAATACATGGCCAAGCCATTTCACTCGACTAAGGTTCAAAACCTCATCAATCGAGTTGCCCGTCTTGTCTAGTACCGTTCACCTGACCTCAACATTATCCACACGGCAAATCATTTGGAACTCATCTATCCATTTTCATAGGGATGTAGCCGGAATTCTCTTCAAAATGAAGCTTTTTAAGGTAGACCCTTCATCACCAGTCTAAGGACACTAGTTACTATCTCCATACTTTCCAGTTTAGTCAACATCACTCTTACAATTACTTATTTACTGCTTTTTGACTAAGTTGTGATTACGCTCGGAACTTTGTCAACGGTTTCAGTACCAAAAAGTAAGAAAATGTACATAAATGTATGCAGATAAAGAAGACGAGATGAAGTAAAACAATAGAAAATTCATAGTAAAGCAATTTTTCAAAAGAAAGTCTTTGACTAAGTTTTCGTTACTGTTTATTACAACCATAACTAAACGAAATCGATAAAGATTTCAACATGAAGAAAGAAGAGAACATTTAGTCATGTGTTATACTGTCAAGCTTAGGATTATAGTATTTCTCTTATTGATTCCTTTGACTAAGTAACCATGAAAGAGGGAAAATAAATCGATCGGCCTATAGATACTTAATCATAAGGAGATAGGTAAGTAGACAAGCAGATTGCTAGAGATGAGTAGAAAATCAAGAATAATAATGGAAACAGGAAGTAGTGGACTTAGAGAAAGCTTTTTTTTGAAAAGCTTAACTTAATTTTTAATAAAAAAAAAAAAGAAAAAAACATGATTTCCTTTAAGGTCATTTTAAAATTAAATTGAAAATGTAGTTGAGTTTTATAACCTTTAAAATTAATCCCATACAAATAACTTTGTTAGATAAGGGATATCCAATAAACTTCATCAATCAACAATTAAGCCTTAAAATTAGAAATTAAACGATACAACAATATCATAGGAAAAGATAGGGTGCGGTTTCATAGAAGAAACATTTTTCTTTTCGATGAAATTATTTACTAAGCTGTACATTTGTGGATATATGTTACAGTGGATAGAATGTTCCAGAACACTTCCCAGCCTGACTTCCAAAGGGAGAACAGAAAGGCATCTTCAGTTCGATAACAGAACACCTTGTGAACTCAAGCCACTAAGCTGCTTTCGAGAGCTCATTTAAAATTCTCTACAAGCTTCGATCAAACCACTCGAAGGGAGTAAACTCAAAGCATTTGTCTATAGCTGAAGCAATAGCCATCCAGAAGTTTAAACCAGCGTTATAAGTGAAAAAAGGTACGTTCAAACTTTATCTTTGCCATGGCCAGCATAAAGTCTTGTCTGCCATAGATTCATTTTGTATCAGGTAACTGCATTTTCCTGTCATACATTTAACCTGCACTACGCAATTACAATCTTATTTTCATGATCCCCTGTTTATTCTCATACTCTGTCATAGGTTTATCCGGTATTACATAATCGCAATTTTATCTTCATAACCCTTCGTTCAGTTTCCTACTTTGCCATACGTTCATTCTGTATTACGTAATTACATTTAGTTTCATAATCCTGTCTATTTTCGCACTCTAAGCACAAATGCATATTAATTAACTTCCTTTCGTTATTCAATATATTTTGCCTCCTGATAGGAAACAATTCTGGAACATTCTACCCACTGTAACATATATTCACGAATGTATAGTTTAGTAAGTGACTTCATCGAAAAGAAAAATTTTTCTTCGCTGCAACCGCATCTTGTCTGTAGCCTGACCTATATATTTCAGTCGAGAAAATACGAGATTATAATTGTTTATCCGGTTACTTCTATGAAATACCTTGTTTCATTAGGACTTAATACATGACTCAACCGAGATCTAGCGTTTTGTAGCTCATTCAGAATACTGTACTTATGAAAACTACTAGTACTAATAACTGAAAATAGGATGCAGTTTTCAGTTCAACATTTTGTACCAATTTGTTGCACAGTCATTGGCCATGGCAATCCATTTGGTTTCATTACGCTGATCGAGTATTTTGTAAATAGTTTCGAATTTGTATACACTGTAAAATATAAACTGATAAAGTTAACTGGTCACTATTCATAAGTGAACAAGTGATTTTTTAAAACAAAGGCAAGAGAGAGTATTTCATTATTCACTTTTCATTAGCAACCAATAATAATCTGAAGTGATAATTGGATTTCAATGACAAGTATGCTAAAGAAATCGACTAATTACTATTACGAAACGAATATCATTACGAAGATTATCAGTATAGTATTAGTGCTATACATTTCAAACAATCTAATAACACGTATACACCTGTCGATCTGTTTACACGAAAATTTACAAAAGGGGTTTATGGAGTCAATAGGAAATATAGGAATAGGAAGGAGCAGAGACAAAAATCTAAATCACATTACTCGAGGTATGAAAATTGAAATCACTACTACTGAAATAGGTTCAATATGAGTACACATAAAGGGGTTTACAATAAAGGATGACAAGAGCTTCAATGAATTTAAGCACTCGGCCCCGACCACTTTTATGTAGTACTTTATAAGCTGTTTTCATGTCCACCCTATAGTTATTTTCTGGTATATGTTTAGTGGTAAATGAAGATGGATGTTTGTCACCTGTGCTTATTGGATCTGTTGAAGCCACTTAGGTGGATGTTCAGCCAACTTTAACTGCATATCACAATTACTCCTCCTCCCTATGTATATGTGTCCACACATCCATGTAAATTGATAAACACAGTGGGATGTGATGTAGTCTTTTATATGTCGGTTTAATTTGTGTTGTAACATGGATTTTGTCTTCTCTACAATGATGACCTTGGCTGAATAATATGTTTTACAGGTGGCCGATCTAAGCCTTTTCACATAAATAGTTCTACAAATCCATATGTGTGATGAGATTGCTCGAAGTGTATAGGGCTAGTACATCACATGTTTCGGATAATATGCATCTTGTCATTGTACTGTTTAAACTTATCACAGGGACCATTTGCTTTGAATAAGATTAGGAAAACATAAATAAGGTCAGTTCAAATAATAATTTATCACCTACCACTTTGTACATCACAATAATCGACTGTAAATCCTTCCAATTGCATAACTTCCGTTGGATCTGACTTCCGTTCTTTATAAGAAGCAATTATGAATGTGTACTGTGAGACCTATGAGAGAAAAAGAAAAGCATGATATGGATACTACATAAACAACAACAGCAATTGTAAACATTATTCGCATGCATTCTAACTAGTTTATATCTGCGCATTGGCTACAAAAATGCTCCATGCCCTAACAAAACTATTTAAAAAAGCATTGATAAACTTAAGAGTTTTCCATTGTCTAGTTGTAGTCTAGGTATTTGATTCCAAGCCAATGAGTAACGGATTCCGTTTACTGAGAGCTGGGCAACCAGATAATATCATGATCCCTCAACGCAGTGAGTGTGATTCAATGTCTGTTGTATATACGTGTAGGTAGGTTATGAAGTATGTTTCACTTTCTCGATCTTATTGTCCGATTGATGACATGAAAGTCTGGGCTATTGCATGAACAGAGTGATTGGTCATCAGATTTCTCTTTTCTTCCATCAAGAATAAGGCAATCTGCTGATAACCAGTTAACAAATAAATACCCAGATATAAATGCATAGTAATACTAAGTGGTAAAGTAAGATTTCTCGTTAAATTTACAAAAGTACCTCAAAAATATATTATAGTTAAAAGAAATGGAGATAAATCATGGAATTTAAAGAATGTCACCAGGCTTAAATATTGTCATTATCATACATTAAAACTGTAAAATAACAAAAACATCATCTCATTATAGGTTTTTCTATAATACGAACGCTTGTTTCAACAATACACTGCATAGAAATCTAGTTAATAATAACACTCTACAATGCTATGGGAATTTTTTCGAAAAAGAGAAAAAAGAAGAATTATGCATGAGAGAATAGCAGATCGACACAGTAGTGTTATGATCCCATGCTCTATATATAGCGATGCAATGCTCCGAGACGAATACGATTAATCATAGAACAATGACCTCTCAACTCGGTATTTAGCTGACACTAGAAAAAGACGATAAGAATAACAATTTATTCATCCCAGCTGAATACTAATAATTAAAAACTCGGTCGTTTATATATCCTTGGCCAGCGAAAAAAAATAGAATAATCAAAGTGGCAAAATGAACCACTCAGCGTTTAGCATTCTAAACTGCGGTAAAAAAAGAAACATGCCGCAAAAAGGGCGTGAATAAGGCTTAACATAACAGCGATAATATAAAACATTGAATTAGTTATCATAGGGATTGGCCAACCCTAACAAGTAGGTTGCTACCTTGTTCTTAAGTTGCATAATAATGATAATGAATGACAAGAATGAATATTTATATCAGGTAGAATGAAGGAATTTTTTTCTTTTTCACTGTCATTTGATAAACTGTACATTTATGAATATATGTTACTATGGGGAGAATATAGTAGAATTATATCCAATCTGGGGTCAAAATATATTAAATAACGGGAGGAAGTTAATTACTTAGTGGAAATGAAGGTTTAGAGTAGGAAAATAAACACGGAATTATGAAAATAGAAATTCTGATTAGATGATATGGAATTAATCTGTGACAGTCAAGGCCATATGGTGGTCATGGAGAAGACGAAGGTTACATAGCCCTAAATTGAATGGCTGGTGCTTCAGCTGCAGACATCCTCAAAAAATGACTCTCAAGATATTTAGATAGAACATACTTCGCTCCCAACCTTCGAATCATTTCCTCCTGCAAGAAACGTTTTGTTCAATGTATGAAAGAAAAGCTGATGCATTGGGCCACATCAATATGTTTATATCAGTTTAATTACTCTTGTGGAGCTGAGTACATCGGCTATACCATGCAACCATGTACACTCGTGAACCCTTCCTAAGCTGGCTAGCAAAAAAAGGAGAGCCGAAATCCATGTTCAGCTGAATAATAAAACACCTTGTGAACTCAGGCCAATCATCTCCATATGAGAACTCATTCAAAATCCTCCACTGAGTTCGATCAAACCAGTCTAAGGGAGTGAGACCAAGGCATTTCGTTATAGCTGAAGCACTAGACATTCAGAAGTTCACCTCAGCGTCAGAGATTAATCCTATGTTACATAATTAAAGTTTCTATTTTCATAATGTCGTGTTTACTTTCCTACTCTAAACATTCATTTGCATTACGTAATCGAATTCCTTTCCTTGTTTAATATAGTTCAACCCCTGTCTGGGAGTAATTCTGGTATGTTCTCCCCATAGTGACATATATTCACGAATGTACAGCTCAGTAAATGACTTCATCAAAGAGAGAAATGTTTCTTCACTTCAACCATCCTTTTTGTCTTTTCCTATGATCAGGTGATTAATTGTAGACAATAATTTCGTAGAAACGATCAGAAACAAAGATAGAGGAAGGTTTTTGTTGGATGATCATAAACAGTAATAATCATGAAAGAGGCTTTGAGAAATCTAAACATCATGGAAGACTACTATCAAACAAAAAAAACTACACAGCTACAATATACTAATTTGAAGCATGAGCTAATGATATTAAAAAAATATGTCTTTATGCTATATTGCACACATCCAGCAAGATTAAACACGATTATAACAATCACAAATCTGAGCCAGAGATAATACAAATGTCATATGGAGCTGAAGGGATCATTTAGTCGAAATTTGAAAGTGACTTCTTGGTAAACCTGAAGGCACCATTCCTTGGCATTTGATTAGATAATGTGTAATTTTTTCATTCTTCTTTAACATACAATTTGATAGATCTTTGAACATCACATCAGTAGAAATGTTCAGAAATTTACGGCATCATTTATGAGTTATTCGCTACAAATCAACTGATTTCTTTTCCATTAGTCATCCGATGTAAGCGAATGACATTTATATAGGTTACTTTGATCATTTACAGATGAGGAAAATAGTATCATTAAAATAGAGAGTAATAATTGAAGGTAAAATGAAAACCTGAGCGGCAGCAGGGTTTGAAACAGCGGTCATTTACGAGACTTAACTGCTGACTAGGCATTAATTTCACCTCAAAACCTGTCTAGCGCCGCCTAGATTTCCATTCCATCTCCAATCATTACTCTAGATGAATAAAAGCCCGTTTGCCAAACTATGACTATCTGAAATAGTCTCATTGGAAATATTGATATCCTATGAAATCCAGTTCAAGTTATCTCACAACGCAAAAAATAGATGGATTAGTGAAAAAGCTTAAAATTAAGGATGAAATATATGAAAATTAACCGCTTGATGTCTCCCTGAAGAAACGGTATTAAGGAACAAAACCATACTTAGGTAAGAAGGATGAAGTTGAGATGATGGGGAATATTTATAGCTCAGGGGGGATGATTTTGGTGGTATTATATTCTCTCTATATTCTTTTTACAGTTTGTTATCTAGAACGACAACAAAAACTCCACAATTATAAAATCCAGATGACAGAACACAATACCATCAAGAAGAGATGTAATTTTTCGCAGAACTTAATGCCATAAAAAAGAAATTGAGGAAATTGGTTATCCTATGAAATTCTTTAAAAAAGAAATTAATCTACACTTTTTATCAGAAAAAAAAACAATAGTTCTGACAGGCAACTGAGATATTTATCTATCTATCAAGTATATCAAGAATTCGAATAGGTTATTAATTCAAGGAGTAATTTATTAGTTTTCATAATGTTGAACAGAAATAAAAACTGCAATAAAACAACAAACATAAGGGAGTTTCCTGACAAATCATAGTGACGTCATAACAAAATTGAATGCTTAAAGTGTGTAAGTAAGATCTTTGGCAGCTTTTGCCAAAACCAGAAAAAAAAGTGATATTACGGAATAAGAATGATAAATTCATTTCGTACATACTTTATTTTCCTACAGTTGAATTGAACTCAGTTCTCTTATTCCACTAAAAACATAGTATTTATTATCATTAGACTATCTGAGAGAGCCGTATTTTGGCAGACTAGTATTTTATACTTCGAAATGATTGAAAGTGAGATGAAAATGTTTACTGGGTTCCTAGTGGAACATTGGGAACCGGTAGCACGTCTCCATTTCACTCTGGTCTCCCCAGTCTTTCGAACCTGCCTCCATCACTGCCCACAAGCTTTCATTTCTTCCTCACACCATCTCCTCCGTGTCACTTTCGGACGCTCAACTCGTCGTTTCCAATTTCAGTCCCACTCGAGTGCTTGGCGTGGCGCGTGATGTCCACGAATGGTCTTCTCAGTGTATGCCCAGTCCATCTCCACTTTATTCTTCTGCACATTTGTTGGGTGGTAGGTTCTTGGTTGGTTCGTTGCCAGCCATAGTGAGTTCATTTGTTGCTTATTCTTCCCGGTCATCTGATCTGATCTTCAGTATCGAGTGAGCGTATGTGGCAGCTGTTGGTGATGTATGTCTGTAGTTTGTTGGAAACGTTTTCATAATGCACCAAGTCTCTCAACCATCACATAGAAGTACTGACTTGACTGACTTAGTGTTGACAATTTGGATCTTGTTCATGCCTTATGCTGGGTGGAATGGAGTGTAGTAGATGTCCACACTGATTTCAGATTATTGAAGACCTGTCTTGCTGTCTTGCCGATCCTCACTTTTACGTCCTCATCTGTGCAGCCACCTGTAGTTGAAACGATGGTGCGTAGGAAGGTGAAAGAGGCAACTTCGTTTAGGTTTCTCCCGTTGACGTTGATTGGTGCTTGTTATTGTCGTTGGTTGGGTATCTTCATCACATCTGTCTTTTCTACGTTAACTTGAAGTCCTGTTTTCGCGGCCCTACCTCTTCTGCAAACTTTTCGCTTTTCGCCTGTAGATCTTCGACCTTGTGCGGCAGAAGACATTAGACATAAATCATTATGCAGGAAATTCAAATCTTCTAGCGCCTTTTCATCGACCAAACAACGTATTCCCGTCTTCTCACAGCTCCTCACTGTTTGTTGCATGATCTAGTCCAGTTGACCACAATCAGGAAGATGATGGGTGATAGTTGGCGACAACCTAGTCTTGACTTTTTCCTTCCTGTCTTCACTTCAAAGGTATCACTGACCTTTCCATTGTCGACCACTTGACTAGCATGTAGCATCATATAGCTGCTCTTCAGTGAGGTTGATAAAGGTT